TTTTTTTTTAATGATCGCGCACTGTTGTTATTTAATATATAAGTATATGTGGTTAAATTTGGCTATAAGGAAAAAGAAAGAAATCAAACTTGAAATTTCTTTTTATTTATCTTCTTTCTCTAGATATAAAGCAAAAAATTCTTCCTTGTTGTTGTGAAAAAAAAATCTAGCTTCATTTGAGAAGAATCAATCTAGCTGAAAATTTGAGCGCAAAATTTTGAGTTGTTCAATAGTTATTGTTATATAAAGATGAAAAACTAGGTTCGCTATGTGTACCGAATTTCTTCCGATAATCTAATCATACAGATCTTCAGTTGATATCCAAATGTAGTCAATATTTATCGGTACAAGTTAACATTGTTTAATTTTTCAAATTTTTCTTTATCAATTTTTGGTATGAATTTTTTCCGAAAAACTCACAAGAAAAAGTGTAATGATATTGGTGTATGTGTACTTTAAATAAATACCGAATTCATTTCATGATATTCATAACTCATTCGAATTGATAAAATTCAGTCATGATTAATCGCTCTCGATACTTCTCTTGTGAATTTAAGCAACATGCATTAGAAAAGTCTTTGTTTGATATATAAATACCATAAACCTATGACAAAGATTCAATTGAAAAACAATCGAGTAAAATTTTAATTCGAAATACAATCATTTCATAGTAATTGAATCTAGTCTGAAATATGATGAAAATAATATAAAAAAGTAGTTATTTATATTATTTTACTGAGTTTTAGTAATAAAAAAGTGTTAGCTCAATACGAATGATATATTGGATAGACTTGTATCAATTGGTTGTTTAATAGACAAATCTTGTTAAATTCCCAACTTTAATATTAATAAAATTTATCTCTTGAACTCGCGACAAATTAAAATCGATAAAAAAACGTATGTTTTTTTATCTTTTAGAAACAAGTAACGCTCGTCACTAGGACTCGCTTGATCCTTGACTGAATTCGATATAGTAATGATTTGTTATCACTTGGTTCATTCTACTTTAAGAATTATCGTGGAATACACACATATACAAACACCTGTTTGTAATATTGTGTGACTGCTGTTTCGTAAAAAGATCTGACCTTTCTACTTTTTGTTGATATTTTTATAAAATAAACTTTAGGATACAGCTCCTAGTCGAACATGACGATTCAATCAAACCCACCCTCAAATCTCTTCAGGACAGAGTCAGGCGATTTCTTCGTCAAATATTTTCCCTTTTGTCTAGAATGATCTCTATTTCGAGATCCTATAATTTCATCTTGAATCTGATAATTTCATTCCAAGTAGAATTGAATCAGGTTTCCTGCAGAATCTATATTATGCTGAAATTGCTTCTTTAGTGAAATGCCAAGAGAGGCTTCAAATAATCCTGCATTTCCTACTAATCATCACTAAATACAGAGCTAAAAGAAGGTTCGTCTGAAAAAATCTAGAGGCTTGTAGAGATTGATATTTCATCGATTGATCACTTTGAAGGTGTTACGTCTGTTTTCAAATCATGCACCAAATATAAATCATTGTTCAAGAGAGTGTCGGTGGTGTTAAACATTGATCAGACAAGATATAAATCCACAAGATTAAGAGATTGCGAGCCAGCTACTAAGATATCTTATTTCGTTAAAGTCTCAAAAAACATGTGACCAGTAAATGAGCATTACTGGGGTTATCGTTTAGTTGATAGAAGATTGGCGCTTACTTCTTCACAATCTTGCTAAACTCTTATTCATTTTCTAATTTTCACTCCAGGTAAAGAGTCATAGTATTGTACCTCTGGCACAGATCTTAACCACAGACAAGAAGTTCAATATATTTGTTTTAAGAAAGGAAAGAAAATTCAAACTGTTAACTCTTGTTTTGTATATATTGTTTGCCTTCATAATGAGCCTACAAGCAAGTTGATACTACATGTGTGTGTGTGTGTGTAAGTTATCCTAAATTCGATTTTTTAGTGATCGCCTTTTGCGTTTAATCAGCGAAAAATATGCTTTTCGTCAAATGCACGCCCGAGATGTTGTACTTCTACAGAAAAATTCGTTCGCAGACTTGCTATGAAAAAATAATTTTTCAGTTTTTCGCCATTTTCTGACGTTGTTTCAACAGATCGGTTTCCTTTGATAGGAAATTTTTCTATGTATTGCAGTAGTCTGAAGCTTTTTCTCTATAAACATTTAAGATTAGCGGGTAGTCGTTCTTTGGCGGCCCTCCGAGATGTCCTCAGGGCTAGTCGCTCACTTGCAAAAAAACACTTCTGCTACTGGTGATACCATTTTATTTACAATCAAAACGATATATGCGTGCCTTATTTTATAAAAAAAGATCTTCGATCTATAACACAAGACTTCTCCAACGAAAATTAAATACAATAGAACTATTCTGCTATTCTCTATGGAAATAGAGTCTTGTGACAATGCCTATCAAACATGATTGTACAGGTGCAACTGATTGCCTGCAGCAAACAAACAAGCAAGCAAAATTATTTTGTTTCATATCTGTTATGACCCGTGTTGACAACAAGAGATCATATTATTTCTGTTATATATAATACTCGTGGTCATCTCTCTATTCTCTTTTTCTCTTTATTGTTCTTGTCTTTTTTTACGAAAAGGCGCCTCGAGCAGTTTTTTCTTTTATATAAAAAATAGTTAATGTGTATCTACTTATAATTGATTCAAATAGAAAGAAGATTTAAATATTAAAAGTTAGGTTTAACCTTAACAATACCATCCTCCCTGAGTCGAGTGAACAGAGTTGCATGTGTGACTAAACCAACACATCTGGTTTGTTGACTTTTAACTCTAAAAAACTTTCTTTACTCAAAAATCAACAACCAAATTTAATAAAAACTGAGTTCAGATTTCGATTCCCCGGCCCTGATTACCTATAGACAAATTTTAGGGAAAGTCACTATCTCCCTTTAATGTATGCACATGACTCAACACATGCTTGCTAACATACAAGCAAGCAAGCATATAAATTCATTTTATTTCATATTACCTTCCCTTCAGCCGAGGGAATTACTTGAAGATTAATGTTATCAATAGTAGAATCAAAAATTCGTCTTGATGAGTCATATTCAAAATGAGCAATAGTTGAAGTAAGAATAGTGCATTATTTGTCTCGATGAAAACATTTTATGAGGTAAATAAGATTTGGATACTCTCATGATATGGCTATCTCTTTAGCTTTTAGTTAAAAACTAGCTCTTGAAATTATTTTCAAAAAACAAAACAAAAAAAAAATAGTGACATTTTGAAACTGTCACGCGTAAGAATATGAACTTGCATATTGACCTATAAAAGCAAATTTGTTGTTTTGTAGAGTAACTTACAGAAATTATGCTTCTATTTCTAAGCACCATTATAATTGTAGACGGGCTATCATTTTAAAAGTCAGTATCAAACTAGGAGCAGGAAGTACACAAGTGTAAATTTGATATTATCATTGGTTGTTTTAGGAAGATCGATTAGAATACACAAACACTTGATCATACAGTCGAGGATAAAGCGAATCGAGCCGATGAGCCCTACTTATTGTAGTATTAGTTTTAATCGTTGATATTGATCAATAGTATTCAACATTTGTAATTCATGATTTCGAATATTACATAGATACTGATTCTATAATTCTTTTAAAACGATATATATATATATATACGGAAAGGGTTCCAATTTAATGAAACTCAATATTAGTTGTATATTGTAGATAATCGATAGTGTGTAGGTATTTACAATAAACATCTCTGACATTTTGTCTTGAGTTGCAGTGCAGCATAGTAAATATGTATATAATAGAGATGAAGCTCAAATTTTGAAAATTAAACCATATAAAAGCAGAGAAAAGTCGATTTTTCAATGAGTAAAATCATGTTTAGTGATCGTTGATATATTTAAGAATGGTGAGAGCACTATTTATTTTGATTAGTTGTTGTTTTTTGATAAAAACATTGAGATTTAGTCGAAAATCAAATATATGTTCTTGATCTTTAAATTGTTTGACTTGTGCTATTGATATAAAATTGAAAAATCAATTCACTTTAATTGATAGGAGACACATGACTAATATGTTATAAATTCACAATTTTTGTTGTTGTTTTTTTTCCATTTAACAGGATGATACCATTTTCGAGTATAATTCAAAAGATGATTCAACTTTATATTGAGTTTTCTTTCGAAGCTGATTGAGTTATTGTTGAAAAAACAGAAAAAAAATTCAAGATGTATATAGTGTTGTTAAGTCATTGGCGAAAAGATGACACTTCTCAGGTTGATCGAAACACATCAAGAAGATTGTAATGATAAACAATAAAATTTTTATCTAAACTTGGTAAATAACCTAATTAGAATATTAATTATTAATGAAAATTATAGAAAAATAAAACTTACGTTAAGCAATAACGTGAATAATACTAACAAGTTTTATTCCAATTAATTGTTTTTCATTATTTCATATATTTGAATTAGCCACTTGAAAATAAAATTCTATTAAGATAAATTAATTGCAGACAAAATCTAATAGTGTAAAAAAAAGCAAAAATATTTTATAAAATTTTTAATTCAAATTTTATATCAATACAAACAAAAATATGTTGTGAATTATTTCAAGAATTGCATTAACAAGGAAAGACGTATTAATCAATAAAAGTCGCTTTCTTTCTCTATCAAATATATATTCAATCCGAATATACTACATAGTTTTACTTCGATAGAAACATTCAAAGAGCTTGTCGAAAATCAAGTGATCAACACTACGTTGGAGTTACTTGAATAGACTCAATTATTTAGATAAAAAACGTTGTTTTCCAGTCAATTTTCTCTAATTTCCCTTGAAAAATCGCTTTTCAATACAGCTCTTGATAAAAGCACCTTGTGGTGTTAAAAGATGCGACTAGAAGTATTTAGTTGTTTGCCTATTTCTGTAGGATCTGGTTAGATAGTCACTATTTCAAGTGTCACATCAAATTATACATAGAGACATATAGGACAATATTGATTGATTGAGAATTAGATTTTCAAACAAATTGAAAAAATTCTACTTTGATAGACGTATCAAGCTATTGAACATAAAAGAAATAGGCTAGCTTTTTCAAAACATTCGTGACTTTGAAAATTTGAATTATTTTGCGTAAAAACATGTGTATCCAAAGGCAACAACGTACAAGTAAGATGACATATCATCACCTATTTTCTCATATTCTTATTTTTTCTAATGTTTTTGTATCGTCCTCGCTGTGTTCTCGCATTCTCACTCTAGTTCTCACTCTCTCACTCATACATACACACACACACTTTCTTTTGTTTTCTCATTCATTGCACTCATTATTCTGATGTACTTATTCTAGTTGTATGCTTGTGAATCGACGAATTTTGAAGTCATATTTCGGTGTGAGTATTCTAGTTTTATTCCAGGCAGACAAAATCAATAAAAAAATACGTAAAAGTGGGTCAAAAATAAACGCGTTCCAAAATGTAAAACCCGCACATTTTAACGCGTTAAGAACGAGTTTAAAGTTTCTAACGCATATTTTATCATTTACAATGCTAACCCGTTTTTACGACATCCGATACTTTTACGCGTTCGTAACGCGTTAGAACGTGCGGTTTTTAGAATTTTTTTTCCGTTTAATATTTTAAACGTGTTTTTACATGTTTTATTATGGAATTAAGCATATTCTTTAAGGAAAAGAGAGAATGTAATACATCATGATTGCTTGAGAGCTAGCTAAGAATACTTGAGGGTATCCTTNTTCTTTACACTCAAAGGTAAAAATTGGATATCCGTCGCATATGCTCAGCTCGAATCCGAGCTTGATTGTATCATTCAGAATTTTGGATCGAGTCGCAGCAAAGTCGAGATTTTAAAATCTGGTTCATAAACCATTTATCAAGCATCTAACGTATGCATTGCTTGTGCTGATATTTTGGTTCATTATTGATAAAAACGCACATGTTTGATTTATTAGCAAGTGAAAAATCGTACAGTACAGTAATTCTATTCTAAAAGTCGAGCAGGAGCCCGTTCTCTCCACTCAAGAGCTGCTGAATGAAAAAGACAATGTACGATTATTCTTGTTCAACCGAAGATCACTGATATGGTGAGTCTTTTATAATACAATATAAAACTACTCCGATTCAAGCGAACTTTTGAATTATCCTATATTAAGATTGTGTCATGCAGACGCTCCGCTGGAAAATGAAGAGGGAGTCAAACAATCCATTAAAGTATATTAATATGGCAGTATTTTACCAATAGATGGCAAACAAATTTTCAGAAATTTTTAAATCAATATCATAATCTTGGCAGTCAGTTAATTTCAACAATTAAAAAAACATTATAAAGAGTATTTAAATATATACTTATTGTACAATAAAGAAAACGGTTCAGTCTAAGAAATAGCAGAGGGTGTGGGTGTGGGGACGGATCTGAGTCGGTGTCAGGGTTTAGGTGTGCGCCTGTGGTTGAAGTGATCATCTATACCCACACCCATAGACTCAAATATGCTAATTAGTGTAGCTTTAGAGTATGTCTACTGCTTACCACCTGTTATCGGAAACTCGATCAATAATTGGGATATATGTAAGCGTGCGGCAGTGTTCTAACAACGAATACAGACGGGTGTGGGTGTAGGGATATTCTGTATCCACCTCCACCCCCACATCCAAATTGTTGATTTGATGAAAGTTCTTTTTTGATGTGGAGCTAAATAACTTGCATATTTAGCAAATTCTTCAAACATTAAAGATCGTTGATCAAGTATCTTTAAATGCAATATAAAAATGTGGGTGTTTCTTGTCTTAGCTTCCATATCCACACTCACAGATGACGACCTCTACTACTCTGCAGTATATGACCCCAATCCTTCTTGTAGAACTGCTTTCTAAGTAAATGAACTGAACTATCTTGCTTCTCGGTAATTGAGATCGCTTCAATATCGTTTATTTATTTGTTTTTGACTAGCACATATACGGTGCTTCAAGGTCAGACAGCTCGCTTCAGTTCCAGTTCCCAAAAATTGTGAATAATTATTCATTAATGAGTAAGTGTGGGTAACTCACTAAACGCCGTGCATATTACACGATTACTTCTTCTTAGCCTAATAATTAATTAACATGTGCTACATTGATGTTCGAAGAGCACACTTCCTACGAGATGTTTTTGTCTACTTTCATGAACTCAAAAGCAAACATGTCTGGTTCTTTTTATTCAGGTTTTATTTGGAAAACATCTATGATCATTGTGGTTTACGATTGGTAGCAGTTATCTTTTATTTATAGTGTTTTGTTAAAATTCTTTGTTGGGTCTTCAGTCAAATACGTTACAGTACAAATGTGAATACAATTAATTGCTCATACAAAATGTTAATTGTCTTGGATGCTTAGTTGTATGATTTCTACACCCATCACCATTGTAACTGGGCACCGATGTAAATGGTCCTTGTTTATTGCATTGATCCACTGAATTAATTCCATAATTTGAGTATTTTTCAGACGTCACAACGCAACAGTTACCCGAAATCGATGTTTTACAATTTAAACCCATAAATGAATTAGCTATAAGAGATAAGACCATTTCTGATCCAAGACTATAACCATATGGGCATTCTCCTCCTACACCATCCAAATAATAACAATGAGTTTGATATAATACTTCGTTCAATGGACATTTATTTGTAATTTCGGCTGATGTTGATGTTGAAAGCGTGGTTGAATCCCTCAAGAAAACAACAAGAAAGTGTGTCTACAGTTGTTCAATAGTGAAAAGAATGTACTCAATCGCTCTTGAATAAATCAAAACCCAAATAAGACAAAGTAATGTGCGACTTATTTTAGCATTTGATAGTTAAAAGCTTGAAATATCCTTTGCCGAAAAGAAGACTTGTTTCATAGAAACACTCTCTCTCTCTCTGAAACTTCTCCAGTATGCGCTTCATCATGAAATCGATTGTTGCCATTGATCTCTATTAAACACCAGTAAAAGTTAAAGTTGTCGAACAAATAATTAGTGAAATTTGTCTTTGATGGTACTGCTTTCGCATGTATGCATATTGATGTCAACCCACACCCTGTGATGCGGGAGAATGTTTGGGTACTGATATGAACCGATGTCATTTCATAGTTGCGTCTATTTCTTTTTTACAAACAGTGGTATTATATACTTTATCAAAGAGAAAGATTTATCGTTCCAGCATTTTTGAATTCATTGCTACTATAAAAAGTAGTGCATAGCACTATACATTCGGCGCGTAAGCAGTGGATAATACTTACAAACATAAATCATCGATGACAAAAACTTCGCCATATTGACCATTATTAGTTGACGCATAGAATGTAATTGTATTAATATCGAACCAATCCAATTCAATTGTAGTTGAGCGATTTTTTTTCAATTTTAAATGATGCTTCTTTATAATATGTTGATGCACGTTGTGAAACCATTGATAATGTTACACTATTATTCCATGCCGATGAGACAACAAATGATTTTATACTAAATTTATTTGGTGTATCTATAGCGATTGTCATTCGTTCACCATTCATGTTGAATGCTACCCATGTGCCCGATTTTACAGCCGAATAAAAGCCACTTTTGGACCATTGTGGATATATTTGTGTATCAAGTACATAAGCGTTCGTCCATTTTAAACCATGATAACCGTTCGGGATCTTGGAATACGTTGATGCATTTTCAAATGTAATTAAATTTGAATCCAAACAATCTAAAATGAATGTTTGCTTTCAACCTACGAATGAAGGCAAATTCGTCAAGCGCTTTTTCATGGGATTGTTATTCTATAGGGAGGCTGTGACAAGATTGTGCTTACATCTCTTTATTCAGACAAGAACTGTTTCATATAGCAGAATTTCAATAGAATGAGTGGCTGTATAATCGATTCAATACGTTGAAATTTTCATCTCACAAGACCATACTGATTAAAGTTCGAAATTATTTCTTCGTTTTCCATGAAACTCTGTTAGTTTTGAAGTCATGAAACGAGAAAGATGGGATGGTGCCCATGAATAAAATAACCGGATGAATTTGTGTTTCAACACATAATGTGACGTATTAGATATTCTACAATAAACAAGTTATAAAATTCAACTCTTTGGAAAACTAGTTTGTTGCAGTCAGTAGTTTTACTGGTTAGTTCACGACATTTGAACTAACAAAAGTTTGTCAAACGCGTCCACAAGTAGTTCATCTGTTTCAACAATATAGAATATCCACTGCACGAATAACTTTCCGAGTGCTCCTAATTTATTCGGTAGCAAAGCATGAGGTGGTTCATGATAATTATTAACCTCTGGTTTATCAATCACAATTTGAAGCTTCTCATTCATTTCAGTTTTGAGAATCTCTAATTTTGCTTATATCATGCTAAAACACAACTACAGTGCGATTATGCAAGAAAGAAATACTTCCCATGACGAAGAAGATCCGTTGATTACTGAGTTTTACCACAAAGAATTAAAACGCTCTTGGAAAACTTTAATCAAAATTCTGATTTTCCGAATAGCAACAGTTACCCGATGTTAAACGCAATCATAATTGTCTGTCGCACCTTATCTTGGCTAGTAAAATCTTATGTTCGATATGAATCGGTAACTTAGAGTTATAATTTCCTCCCCTTTTTGTACAATGAATCTTTCCAACACTTCAAAAAATGATCGAGCGTTTTTAACAAATAAATCCTGTAGAGCAAACAATTTCTACAATATATTGGATGGTCACACTTTCTTAATTCATGACGTACATAGAAAACATATTTTGTCTACATGTATGTGATGATCTTTTACAATCTGATTATAATCATAAATTGATATTATGTGGATGTAGAAGACTATTCGATAGTGGAAAAATAAAAGGTGAAAAGTGGTGCCATATCTTATTTCGTAATAAGAAGTGTTCTACAAAACACAACCATCAAACTCGATGATGTTTTGTCTCTTTCATTTGGTGAGTTTGAGTTCTCCAATATCTGCAAACATATTTCTATGCTTATAGAACGATCAATTGCTGATGAACAAAACCTTAGCTATTGGTGGTACAAATGATCGAAATAGTAAATAAGCATTGAATACATGTTGATCTCGTCCGATATCATGCATGCGGTGATCGTAAAATGCTGTACGTTGCGATCTTTTTCAAGGCAAAAGTAAAGTTTTTCATAAAACCATACTTTTATCTTTCTAGGCTCATAAATTCTATAGGAGTGTGTCAAAACCAAGTGTTGAACTTGATGTAGTACTATTGTAAGAACATTTGTTTCGNGAGGTGTAAGCCATCCAGCTGCGCTGCTGCCGCCGCCGTCGTCAGGGAATCGGAGATAATTTTACGAATCTTTTAGCCGCCGCCACTGTGAAAAAGTTAGTTTAGTCATTGCGCCGCCGCCACGAACGAAAATTTTTGATAATCGTATGATGCGCTGCCGCCACTGACATTTTTAGGAGCAAAAACGTTTTTTTTTTGGTTGTCAAAGCCGTCGCCGGTTCAGAAAAACATAAAGTATAGTAGCCGCTGCTATGGAAAAAAAATTTACAATTAAAGCCTCCACCTCCAGTGTAGAAACACTTAGAGTCTAGTAGGCGCCGCTGCCATGGAAAAAAAAATGGGCCATTAAGACAGATGCCACCGTTTGACCCTTCGGCTTACGCCTCTAGTTCTAAGGTTGTTTCTTAGCAATGAAGAACTTAGCAACTATGTCTATCATATAACGAATAATAAGTGATTAACTATTATCAATAGTGGGATCGTGGTAAACTTTCACGCAAGCAACTTTTGGAATATGCAAGCTGTTAGTCGAGATGCATACAACAACAATCTATATGAAGTAATAGGGAACGAGTTTTTATACTTCCAGAAGCTCGCAAAAGCACAGATTGATAGCAAAAATCATACCATCAACTGTCGTGTAATTACATTCTTCCCTTCATGAGACGACAATGAGAGGGGAGCAAAACAAAAGAAAAACGCTTAAATTCCGTTTTGAAGCAATGAATATTTTCCAAGGTTCATGAGTCATCCCCGCCCCCAGTCTCGCGATTGTCAGATCCTGCACCCATGTTGCCACTATTCGTTAATTAGATTAGTGCTTGCAAAGAGTTTAATGTTGGACAGTCGTATTGTGTTGAATCGCTTCGTGTCGAATTCCCGATCGTTAGCGATCCCTTTCACTGGCATCAAGCAATTGAATTTCGAACGTAAACAAGTGTTTAGGTCGTCTAGACGAATCGTTTACAGTCGTTCATGTTAGCTATAACTAGGAATAATCAATCACAAGGAACTCGCGATGCAAGGATACGAAAGACTCATATTTTACTGAATTTCACGAGGTTTTCTCTGTTCACAGACATTTCGATTGATGCTGACCATAGATGTTCTTAGTGGCGTCATTTGTGCCACCTTTTCATTTGTCTTCTTTATGATCTGCCGTCATTTGTGCTATCAATTAACATCAATTCGTCAAACATCTGACGACTCTAATAGTAATGAGAGACGAAAAGTGAAAAATATTCAACAATCGCCGACTATTCGTACCTGGTTCACCGATGCAAATATCGAACACTGGAAACTAACAAACATATGGATTAGTTGTCTGCACGCCTTTGTCAGCGGTACTTTGGCCGTGTACAGTTGTTGGGCCTACTCACCAGACGTTCATTATGATTATATCAATCATATCTCTTGGGTCACCTATTTGACTTGTTCCTTTTCTTTCGGTCGGAAATATGAATATGCATATACTCTGATCTTTTTTTTTTCATTTGTTTAGGATATTTTTGGTATGACTTAGTTGATATTGTCTCAAACCTGCGAGGATCTGATCTGTGGGAATTGACACTTCATCATGTTGTCGTAAGTCTTCAACTCTTTCCAGTGCTTCGAGTTGATGAGGAAGAATAAACTAATATGTGATTGAATTTTGATTTTTCTATTAAGGCAATCTTATTTAGATAATCGTCATTTTTGGCACAAATATCTTTTATCAGGTGAATATTGGTTATCAAATGGTGGCACTCATTGCTGAAGTCAATTCAGTCTTTTTACATTTGCGTAAACTATTTCATCTGCACAATATTCCACGCGAACATCCTATTGTTCGGTTGAATATGATTATCAACCTGGTTACATTTATTGTGTGCCGTTTGATAATATTATTCTATCTTACTATTTATGTCTTTCATGACAGACAACGAATTGGCGTTCATTACTATAAGTTCATCATGTATATTTGCGTACCTGTTATGTGGATTATACAATATACTCTTTTCTTTCGTATATTGTACACAGACTTTCTAAAACGGTTAAGACTACGTAAATTAGCCGCCTAACTTTCGTATTAATTCTTTGCTGCAAAACTTCAATTTCGAATCTTCTTTAATGCTCAATCACATTGCGCTTTTCTTTTCTTTTTTTTTCTCAAGCTCGTATCTGACAAGTGTCGTTTCTGCGTTTTTTTTTGTTGCAATTGCTTTCTTTCTTCTCGCCGATTGAAGACATTACTCTCATGTTTCTATTGAATATAATACAACATGCATATATAACCCATTCATCCAACTTCAATCAAAACAAACCAAAAAGGAGCCATTAAAATGCTTGTTAATGAATATGAGAGAAACTACGATAAGTTTCAAAATAGAACAAGAATGGCAGCAGCGTGAATAAGTTGGGAATAAGAAGATATGCTTCGAAAAGATTTCCGCCTATTTGTGGCAAAATCCATAAAGATCGGGTCGTAGCAGAAAAGTTTCTTTTTATTCAATTTCGTGATGCACGATGAGTTTCTAGCTTATTCCTGATTGACTCTTTTCGTTTTCCTTCTCCATTGACAAAATTTTCATCTAATTCTATTCACTGAAAAGTGTTGAAAAAGAGCGATTTTCTATACAGTACTTTTGCAGTTCAAAATACTCCTTTCAGTTTTTAACGATTTTTCAGCTGGTTTCTGTGGGAACGTCTATTGGAATAGGACGGAAATATGCTGAAATGACATCGTTTCTGAAGAAATCTGGTCAGACTTTGAGGAAGGAATCATCTATGTGAGCTGTTACCTTACTATTGGTTGCATTCGTTTATCGTTTAACGTTCACTTTTTCTTCAGTGCATCATTCATTTTTTGTTCATGATTTCTTCAATAAATCATTAAATCTGCATTCGCTATCCACTTATCTCATTATAGTTTCATCATCCAGACCCTCATAGTTATATCTCAGAGAGTTCAAAACTTAAAATTCCGAAGGACAATTCTTTGTTTAAAATAGTATTTCAAATTATATCTCTTAGAAAATACGTCCAATACAATGAGAAAATTTTTGTTCTAGGTCGTATCGACATGTTTTTGCCTAGTTATAAAAAACGACAAGAAAATTACTTGAGTAATTGTTGAATTATACTGCAAACAACAATTATTCATGTTGCTTCTCACCTACAAAACAGAATCCGAAAAAAGAATCGATTCAGATTTATTCCTACATCACTTTTTGTCATGAATCAACACACACATTATATAACTGTATAATAGAAGTGGAGAACCATTTAAAAATATGTAATTCTTTTCGTTATTCACATATTTTGCGTTTATTTTTTGTTGCGATGAATGAATCAATAGAATTTGTCAATATCGAAGGAGACATCTGACACTAATGTTGTAAAACAGAAAAAAAAACACCTCATTCAAACAATTTTTGCAAACTATATTCAGTTGACCGGTAAGGAATATTTTGCCACTGCATTGAATACAAATTCCTAAACTAAATAATGTATAATCTCTATTGTAGATAGTCTTGTATATGAAATTATATGGTCGATAATGAGAAAATTTTTTTTCTTTGAAATTTATACATAAGAACCTTATCTTGACAATAACAGAAACGAAAACTAAACGATCTTGAATAAGGAAGAGGTGTCGGTCCAGGCGAAAATAGAAAAAGAATGTATGACCACAAATCACATGAATGAAATAGTTGTATTTTTCCACTTCATCCTTTAATAGGCTCGTTTATATTATTCGAAAATGTATCAGATGACGTATAGCAATTATGGAGAAAGCGATTACTGTTTGAGGGCACTGACAGACTAAAAAGAATATCTTATTAAATACATAGATGCAATTTATTCGTCCTTTGAAAATGATAATATTTATTTATAGATACACTTTAATTGATAAATACGTTGAAATTTGCAATCAAGCACAACATTAAATAACACATACTCTGATGGATTACAAAAAATTGGCGATGGTGCGTTCACTATTGATCGTTCTCATGGTTGGAAAAAATGTCATAGTTGTCAACAGCCAGACAGGTTATGATTCAACTTGCACTTGTGACTTAGTGTCTTCAAGTGTTTGTATGAAATATACATGCACAACAACAGCTAAAAGTGTTGCTTGCTTTCCAGGCTCTAGCCGAATTAATCTTATTGATGGTACATTCAAAGCTCTATCTGACATTCAGATTGGTGATAAAGTACTTGTTAATAAACACAATACTTATGAACCTGTCATCTCCTTCATACATGCAAAACGAGAAGGTTTATTTGGCTTTTTAGCAATCAATATACAATCAGTAATGTCTAATTTGTCTTCCACTCTCTATGTTTCTACTAATCATTTAATTTTTGATTTTGATTCTGGTAAAGCAAAATTTGCTGGAAAATTTCATATTGACGATCGAGTACAACTTATTGAAAATAATGAAATTGTTCCTGGTCAAATTATAAGTATTGGATCAACGAAACAAGAAGGATATTATGCACCAATGACTCCATCAGGTACTATTGTTATTAATGGAGTTGTTGCTTCGAATTATGCTACAGTAAGCAATCATGATTTAGCTCATAAAGTAATGAGTATTTATCGATGGTGGATTCATTTAATTGGAGAATCGAAATGGAATGAAGAAATTCCTTGGATGTTACAAATCATGTTAACTATTGAGAAAATGATTCGATGGTGTGGTGGACAAATATTTACAAATAGTTATATTTATGATGGCAAATTTGAAGTGTCATCATTACCATGAAAACTGTGACATTGCCTGTTTTTTTCAAAACTCTCATTAGCTAGCAATGTGTACATTTGTTAATCTACCTTATTTAATCATTTTCTATTCGTCTATCAGATTAAAATGATTTTTGCATTGCAATTATTTGAATAAAAATAACGAATTGTGAAATATCGATAGAAATAAGTGTGATATGTGCTCTATTTTTATTATGAGAACGTTAGGTTACCAAGGAATAATAAAGTCATATGTAATACCAAAGTTGTAACTAGCAAAGTTTTTTTTTTTTCGTACTCGTACTTGTATTGATGCAAACGGCCACCTATGTTCGGAACAGCCGCTAGATCAGCATGAGCAATTTTTTACTTCTCTAATTCTATAACAATCAATTTCACTGCTAACTGGATAATCATCCTTATCGAAAATAAAAAGAAAGTGGTATTTTATTTTTAAGCCCAGATCAACAAGAAGTATGTTTAGCCAACATGTCATACAGTATTTTCCTAACCTTCTTGAAGATCTTCATCGAATGTTAAGTTGCTTAATCTATCACAATATGGAATGATTTTTAAATGATGTCAAACTTTGAAGTTCTGTGTATATTGTTTGTTACTGCATCTTTATCCTACTAAAATGATACACATAGTGTGTTTGATCGATTCAGAACATGAAATAAGGAATGAAGAGAAAAATAATCATCATTTGCCTACAAAAATATGATCATAATACTGAGAAATGTAATATACCGATGAAAATAACAGACATCTATTACCACAAAATTTTTATCAAATAAGATGAGAACTATTTTAATAGTTAGTACATAAAATATTATTCATTCATTGATAAGCTTTTATACAAAATAGAAAACTATGCATTGAAATTGTTGCAAATATGCTTATGAAAAACGACAAGAAAATTACTTGAGTAATTGTTGGATTATATTGCAAAAAACAAAAATTATTCATCTTACTTCTCACCTACAAAACAGAATCCGAAAAACAAAATCGATTCAAGTTTATTGCAACATCATTTTCCTCGTGAATTAAAACATACGTTGAATAACTGCGTAATAGAAGTGGAGCACAATTCAACCACATGTAATTTTTTTCGTTATTCACAGATTTTTTGCGTTTATTTTTTGGTTATGATGGATGAATCGCAATACAACTTGTAAATATCGAAGACGGCATCTAACACTAATGTTGTAAAACAGAAAAAAAACGCCAACATTCCATAGAAACACATTATTACATGTTTTATTGAGTTCACTGGTAAGATTATAATAGGGCTATTAGAAGTAAAATCGATTACATAATTATATCATTTCATCTGTGGAAATTTTTCTAGATGAGAATAATAGAATGAGAATTATAGTACATTCTTTATCATTTTTTATTATCTTTTTATCTAGTCCCGTTGTTTATCAAATGTAAATATATGTGTGATCACTAGTTTTTTTTATTACAATCACGTCACGAAATTTCTACTGACGGTATTAATGTAATTGTTGCAAAGCAACTATCGATAAAGAGAGCATGTAAAACTATTTCAACTCCTCTGATTAAAAGTCTTTTGTAGATGACGCGCAAAATGAAAGCACAGTGACGAAATATTTTAATTCGATGAAGAATAAAAAAATTGAATCATGTTTCATGCAGTCGAAAAGAATGAGATCTGAAATATAGAAAAAGATCCCTTTATATACTTTTCATAGTTTATTTTAATTTTATAAAATTTGAAAAACAATGTCATCATGTACCTACATTGAAAATTCGTCGAGATTTGTCGGAATCAAGTTTTGATCACGATGTCAGACACAATCCTGACAATAAGTTATAGGGGTTACGACAATGTTGCCAATCTTTAATTTTAAGTAAAAAAATCAAGTCTCCTCTAAGTTTCTAAACATTTTATGTTAATTCTTAACAAAAATTTCTTTCGTTGAGATCATATCAGAAATTATGTTTTGTACACTATCTCATATTCACTCATACGAAATGATCAGAAAGAATTTTTCGTTAGATCCAAAAGAGTCATTAGTTGTTAAAATTTTGTAAGACCCTCCCATGTGCAACACTTCACATGGTATTATCAAAGTCGACAGTTGTTCACACAATTTTGATAATTTGACTGAATTAAAAAAAAAAAAGAACAAAAAAGTCTTCAAAGATCTCTCGTCTATCTTTGTGATTTATACTGAAATGGAATCATGTCGTGTCCTTCGTAGGTTAGCATGTTTAGATCTGATTGTGACTGACGATCAGAGTGAAATTAATTGATTCACGACTTCATGTATACAAAAATACTACGTTGACAAAATATCGTAGCCGGTCGTTTGCCAGCTACGGTTTTGAGAATTTATGCAGCATATTGTATTTGAATAACAAGCTCTGTTCAATATACTATTAGTGTAGAGCAAATTCACTAAGTTAAGGAAAAAATTAGAAATACTAAATTACGACGAAGAGCATATTCCTTTAAAGCCTAGCATCCTTAAAATAAGAGAGGAGCCATATTAAAACGATTATAGACATTGATTATAGCACTTTTTCTCATGCTGAAACTTAGAAAGGGTAGATAATCGATTGGATGGCATGTTTTTTTTTTTTTTTCATTTAGAAATATATAGACTTCGATTAGTTTCATCGATGCAAAGCATGCATCAAGTCTCTAGCTTAGGTGTTTAATTTGATGTATCTATTTATGCTTATGTTTTTCTTGTAATTTGATTAATGTTCTTGTAAGTATTAGTTTTATTTCAGAAACATTTTAATTAGAAAATCCCATCTTTATCATCCCAAAAAGTACGCCACATATAGATCATCCAATAATAAGATGGCATTCGCCTTGCTTCATACATTTCTTATCCTATCGATTAGACTATATGAATCGAGCCGATCGTCAAAGAGCAAAGGTTCTACGACCATAATTGGCTATGATTTTACTTGCAATTGCGTCTCAATCTCATTAAACGTCTGTATGCAATACAATTGCGAAATAACAGCACAAAAAGTCAGTTGCTTTCCGGGTTCTAGCAAAATTACTCTTATTGATGGTACATTCAAAGCTCTATCTGACATTCAGATTGGTGATAAAGTACTTGTTAATAAACATAATACTTATGAACCTGTCATCTCTTTCATACATGCAAAACGAGAAGGTTTATTTGGCTTTTTAGCAATCAATATACAATCAGTAATGTCTAATTTGTCTTCCACTCTCTATGTTTCTGCTAATCATTTAATTTTTGATTTTGATTNATGAGCTCAAATTTTTACTGAGAACTATCAATGGTCAGATACATATTCAATAAAAATTTCAGTAAGATTGAGTGTTCTGGGGAAAACAAAATTTAGAGGGGTGGGGGGCCCTTAAAATGTCATCAGTTTAATAAGCAAGAAGAAGAATTGAGTTACTTAGAAAAATTGTTGTAACTTTCAAAGTGAACCTCGTAAATCGCTATCGAAAAATATAAATTAATGAATTTCTACTTTAAAGATAGTTTAACAGAGATTTACTTTATATCTTAAGAACCAAATCTTATCAGATACATATCAAGACGTTGCAAGAAGTCAGCTGCTTCTATTCATAAGAAACAAATCTTCCTAATAAAATATTCTTGTATCAGTCGGTTAATCAATTTAAGCATTGTCGATGCACACGATGTCTAAACAGTGTGTGAGTATGAAGTTGATCCACAGTCACATCTACCCTCGGAAACTATCGAAGTTGAAATAATAATTTTGATTAACTAAAATTTCTTCAAAATTTGATGTTTTTAATATACTGTTTTCTTTTATTCAACAGTCTTGGCAGGAATATTTACAGTGCGTACCAATTGACTTTTCTCCCTTCGTTCTACTTCATTAAAACTATTATAATGTATTTGTTTTTCCATAATCGATATATAGCGAGAAAGTACATATATCACTGCGTCGATAGAATATTAATCATAAATAACAACTAAAGTTCAGAGAAGAAAAACAATATTCATAAAAAAAAAAAAAAAAGATGGTATATGTTTTTACTACACGATAACTTAAAAGTTACTATATCGAGAAAAAAAATATGGAAAAACTTCGACAAAACTATTTTGAAATGTCATTTTTAACTTCAATAATAAACTTTAATCTCGCATGAGTTCTGACAAAACCACGACTATCGTTATTACCAACACAAGAAAACACTCGTAATTTTGTTTTTGATGAGTTCTTCAAAGTATTTTTCTTTGACCTCATATTTACACTACAAGTAACGTTCATCGACAGTTGATTCACTTATTCCTAGACTGACAGGATATAAGTATTCATGTAGCTGCTTTTAGATGTATCCTCAACCATTTTACGGTAATCAACTTTTGTCTATTGGAAGTATTATACTGAAGCACGCTATTGCACTTAGCATTATGTTTGTTTTTTTTTGGAAAGTTACCTCCATCGAAACTATGCATATAGTGTTTTATAATATTTCACATATTGGAATAATATCAATGCACATTAGACTATTGACTCGTTTTCGAAATATTTTCATCGACTAATATTTCATCACTCTTACTAAATTGTTTTTAAGTTGTAGAAAATAAATAACATGAAAGTAACGAGAAATGAATACATTCATGTGCATTTATTTCTCTAAATGATTCAATTTTAAATTGTACACATATTCTCAGTCAGTTCCAAATTTCTCCGGAAATCATTTTTTTTTTTAAATAGATGTTTAATAATCTATCTCCTGATAGACATTAATCTGACTTTCAAGACACGTTATATAAAAAAAACTGTTTTTAATTCTTATTATTACCGACTAGTTTTCAGTATAAACATAATACTAGTATTACGAAATCAAGGATAGGTTTTTTTTTATTCCTTTGAAAAATTTACAAATTTAAACAATTTCCTTCTCTTTATTCATTTTGTGAGATTATATCTTATACATCTGATAAATTCCATTACTAATAATGGTTATTCTCGATTGCCAAACAAAACTGTCTTTATGCGACGATTTTTTTCTATTTGTATTATTATTCATCTTTCCAATAATAAGTATAACAAAATAAAGAACGCGTTTTTTCACTTAGTTTATATTAGCACTAGCTGTAGTCAAAACAAAATCGTATTACATTTATTTTTATCACATATTTAAAAAAGAAAAAGATTTTCGTTTACTCAACAAGTTATAATTTATGAAACAATCATATGCTCATCTTTACATGATGAAGACAAATTCAATTAGACTAAATAATTTATTAAGAATGTTCAGCAAATAAACTTTTATATAGTTCATATTGAACTGTTAATTTCAACAGTAATAGTTAGATGAGTGGTGGCTTTATAATCTTTCAGTAGATGCTCAATTATATCATAGTTACCATATAGTAACTATGTTTCAGATAGACAAACACACGTGAATTTCCGTTTCTAGACTCTATCCTTTTAGTCTAGGAAACAGGTGCATGTCATGCACACTCAGTGTATCCGACAAAATTTGTTGACAAAACCAGAAATATGTCTCATGCTCTCGGGCGGTGTATTACACCCTTTTTGTTGAAAAAAAAAAATATTATATCATCTTTTTTTCTGATGTATTCTTTCTTCGCTGAACTTTAGTTGTTATTTATGGTTAATTTACCATACAATGCAGTGATATCTGTACTTTCTTTGTTATATATCGATTATGGAAAAACAAACAAACACATTGTAATAATCGTAATGAAGAAAAACAATCGGGGTCAAATCAGTTGACACACATTGTATGTTCAATAAATACATTGCCTTAATTTTATAGTTTTCTAGATAATATTATATAAATTTTTCAAAAAAATATTTCTTAGTTTTCAACTCAAGCTTTATTATATAAATCACCTATTTCTTAGATGACTTATCTATTTAATGAGTTCTCTACACATACTGTGCATCCGATTCTATATAGAAGGAGAATACTATCATTTTGCATGATCAAACAGCAGCAATTGTTATCGTAAGTAATGCTTTCATTTTTTTTTTGTCAGAACTTAACAAGATTGAAATGTATCCGATATTGTTCATTAGTATTCATAATAGCTCATAGTCTAACTAAAACATTCCATGTTTATCGATGTATCTATTTATAACATTGAGTGCTGTCTCGAAAGTTGCACAAGCGTTAAAAACGCATGTAATGAGACAGAAAAAAGTTTAAAAAAAAACCTCGGTTTTTGCTCAAAATTTTGATAGCCGATAATGAGAACAAAAAAAAACACTCTTATTAGCCATCAAATTTTAGTTCCATTTCCTGTTTTGTTATCTTTTTTCAACATATAAAAATGTCATGTTAACAGCTGTATAAACATTTCATTAATTCACTTCTGATATTTTCCCATAGCTACGACAAAAATCTTCATTATAAAAGTAAAAATATTCTCTTTTAAACTTTTTCTATTTGTACCCAAGCGTTAAACTTCTTCTTGATTAATATATTCGTTTCTATTTTACCACATTCAGTATGATGGTTTCTTTAGAGTTAGAAACATCAGTCATATTAAAAAAAAAAATAATTGTTCATATTTATAACATCAAAAAGATAATATAAGACAAAATAATTGTGTCACAAGCTATTTATTCCTATTGCAAATGGAATTCAGAATTATTTTATAATAAAGTAGGCGTCACACACGTTAACTAAGTATAATGGATTTCATGTCTTAGTTATATCTTCGGAATAAAAAAAAAAAAAACCCTATATAGACAATAAGCAAAAAGTGTCGATGAAATATAATCTTATAAAAATTTTACTCTAGCAAAAAAACAGATGGAATAAATTAACCAAATTAACTATTCATTTTATCAAATGTAATGGATATACGCGTAGGTTAAACAAAAAATTCAAACCTATCTATCCTCGAATTCGGTCGGATCATTTCTACTGATACCTGTAAAGAAAAAAACCCTATCGATTTTTCAATGACATTATCATAGAATAATTTCCATGTAAAAAGTAATTGTCACACATAACAATAACCTATTTTGCATTTGTTGTTCTATATTGATAGCTATGTAATATCAGAAAATGTATTGTATTAGTTGATAAAAATGATTTTCTTCGTGTTTTATGCTATCAATGACTTCGAAAAGAAAAATCATGTTTATCTTCTCAGCTGTTTATCAACATTTATTGACAGATCTTATTTTGTTTGAGAATGGTGTTAATTGAACTGAAAAGAGAAAATAACATAAAACGAAAGGAAAAAGAAAAGAAATTTATTGCTGCGTATTACTACCTAGAAAAGGATACTCGTTTTTTCTCTCTTTACTCTCTGACATCGTATTTAACTAGTGAAGTGAAGTGACTCATGACATTTTTATTAGATTAGATACTGATAATAAAAGAAGAAAGTCTTATCTCATCTCTATTCCTATATGTATATTCAGCCGTTGTCAGTATCCTTCTAAAGGGAAGATTCTGATAATTTATTCCTTTGAGCATATAGAACATTACATTCAGAATATATGGTTGATAATAGAAAAATAGTTTGTTTGTTTTTTTTTTTTATTAAAATTAAATAGTGCATATTCGTATAACTTTGGACACGATATTTAAATAATCTAGATTTTTTTTCCTATCTCATTCATATATATATGGACTACGGGCTAATTGTGTTAGCGACAAGAATTGTTGACTCTCCTCTTCTTAAGAAAAATTTGCATATTAACTAAGAAATAATCTTTCTCTTCTTATGTTAATCAATCTCAGCATACGAATATATATTTCTTTAGATGATCGTTATTTTATAAGATGTTCAAGATAATTCATTTCTACACATATTCAATTGTAACTTTGAATGAAACAATTTCAAGATACAATTGATACTATATATATGTCTGAAGAATTGAGTTGAACTTAAGTACAGAACTATCTTTTTTTTTTTCTTCTTGGGTATGTGTGTTTATGATTGCCATTCATTCCGAATGAACAAATCTAGGCTATGAATTTATAGATAGAATAGAATTAATCATGCGTTATTTTATTGTTATTATGATCAGTATAATTATCTTTTAAGAACGAAAAAAATACGAAATTTATTGCTTGAATAATTTTACAAATGTTAGTAAGAAAAAGAAATGTGTTTTTTCTTTTCTGTCTCAATAAACTTAATTTCTTGAAGGACTTCGATTAATGAGAGTATATAATATAATGTTTCTTCGTCTGACACTTTTCTTTAAAAAAAAAAAAGAAGAAACCAATGTAATTGTTATTTGATGATTGCATATAATATATGATTGATATTTCCACTAAAGCTATTTCACTGGACTTCGTATCATAGTTTATTTATATACTATCAATTAAGTAAGAATGGATTTTTATTTATAAAATAATAGTTATATTATAATAAAAACCAAAATAGAAAAGAAATTATATGAAACTGTCTTTTGTTGTTTGTATGACTCGTTAGACTATGTAACACTTGCGAATTTCGGTAAACAAAGAAAACAACAGATGGGAAAGCTATACATAACATTAATAGGAAACGAGAAACAAAAAAAATAAGAACGAGAAACTGTGAATAGTATAATTTATGTCATCAGAACTGTCTATATGACATTGTTCGTTCGAGAAACATTTGCAAAAAAAAAAAAAAAAAAAGAAAGAAAAAACAAGCGATATGGATTGACACAGAACCGAGAAAATAGCTTTATCTTTATGTAAGTAAAAAAAAGAAAATAAGCAAATGATTTTTATGAAATATTTTTTAAGATGATATTTAAATATCAATGATAATTTTCAATGAGTGGATCTCTTGATATATTACCTAAAGGTTTTAATTTAACATTTATTGAAGAAGATGAACTTAGTAAAAGTGTTGTTAATTTTCTTGGACATCGACGACGTAATAAATTTGCTTTTCCAATACTTATGTCACTTTATGCATTTATTTTTGCTACGGGACTCACTGGAAATCTTTGTAAGTTAAAATTTTTATTTTAAATAAAATAATAAAATATTTTATTTTAGGCACATGTGTTACTATATGGAAAAGTCGAGACATGCATACACCAACAAATTTTTATCTTTTTTCTCTTGCTGTTTCCGATCTACTATTAATTAGTCTTGGTAAATATTTTGCTTTTTTGTTTTCCTCCCATTGTTGATAAGATCTTTCATAGATTATTCGTATCATCAGTTGTCATCAACTATAAACGTCAACTTTTATCTTATTTCGTATAAATTATATTTGATTTACTGAAAAATAAATTTTTTCTTAAATTACTTTTCAAATTAAAAATGATAGACAATCTTACGATGATTGATACACTTTTCTAATTCAATAATTAGATTGATATTTCATTGTTTCTATTACATATACGAATGTCAATACTGATTAAAAACAAAGCTTGTCAGTACAACCCCAAGAGGGCTAATATGTAGAACTCACAAGTGTTTTCTTTAGTCTCATTATGCTAATATAAAATAAGAAAAGTGAAAAATCTATAGTATACTATAGTTATTTTTCAAGAATAATCTATCACTCGGGAAATGATCTATCTGATTTTTTTCTACATTTTGAACTGAATATTTTTCTTTTTACTAACACTCTAGTTTTTATTTGTCTTATTGCTAGTTATTTGTTGTTTTTTATTTTCGTAGTCCGTTGTTTTTAGTTTAACATTATCATTATTCTCATCATTTGGGAAATAAGTCTGTTGTACATATCCATTATATCTAGAACAAGTCTCAATGCACTTTATATATTTTGATAAATTCATAAACACTGATATTAATTATTTCTCAAAATTAAGACTTAATCATTCATGATTTTTTATTTTTATCATATAAAGATTAGTAGAAAATCAATACGCATCATCTTTGACACCTAGAATATAATGTTCTTATCTTCGGATATTTAAATTTCAACGAAAACTTCGGAATTTTCTATAACATTCAAAATCTTGCCATTAATGCCATTTTCCCCTTGTAAAAAACATGTTCAATGATTATCCTGCCCCCGCTGTTAGGGATTACGGAGTGGAAGCAGTAATACGCTCACTATTTTTTTTTTTGTTTGCGAAAATATATGTGTGACTTTCAGAAAAAAGAAATAAAAAACATTTATGATTTAATTATCTATTAGGATTTTTATTTATGTCTAATCGAATATTCTATTAATTTTATAGGTTTGTCTGTTGAAATGTACAATATTTATGAATCATGGCCATGGTATGTTTAATTAAAAATAAAATTTATTATATTTATATTTAATTATTTATTTAGGATATTTGGTGAAGCATTTTGTGTATTTCGTACTGTTGTTCTTGAAATTGTAACATCGGCATCAATTTTAACAGTTTTATGTTTTACAATCGAACGGTATTTAGCTATTTGTTTTCCAATTGTATCTCAAAAAATACTTGGAAAATTAAGTCGTGCACTTAAAATGATAATGATTGTTTGGTTTTTATCATTTTTACTTGCTGTACCATATACATTTACTGCTGGTAAAGAAAAAAAAACAAAAAAAGCTAAAAATATATTCTTGTTTTCTTTTTTTTTTTTTTATTTTAATTAAGGAGTTTTTATTAGTGTAAAAGGTGAAGTTCGAAATAGAAGTATTGAAGTTCTTGATAGTCGTATATGTGCAATTCGTCCTGAATATTGGGAACCAATGTTATATTATATGGCAGTAACAACATTTCTTGTTTTTGTTATACCAATATTTGTTATAACTGTTCTGTATATTTTAATGGGTATTACTTTGTATAAAGCAAGTCATCGTCCATTAAATAATTATCATGAAAGAAAACGTGAACAAATTGTATTACGTCGTCGTGGTCAACAACATTTGTGGTTAAGACAAAATACAGCTTCATTAATTAAATCACGACCAGTAAGAAATTCAAGACGAGCAGTTTTAAAAATGTTGGGTAAAAGAAAAAGAAATAAAATAAAGAAAAATTTAATTATTAATAAAATGAAATATTTATGTTTTAGTGGCGGTTGTAATTGCATTTTTTATTTGTTGGGCACCATTTCATACGCAACGTATAACAGCATTTGTTACACGATTATTGGATAAAGCAAATAAAAATATAACATCAGATGCGGCGACAAAATTTCAAGAAATACTTTTTTTTGCTTCAGGTATTAACTATTTTATAGATTTCTATTAAATTAAATCAATATTTATTGATTTTAGTAATAAAATAGTATAGTTCTGTTGACCTTATTTAATTAAAAAAATCATAAGTAATATAAAAATACAGATTGTCTCAATGTCAACAATGAAATATTCATACTGACATCGTTGATACAAAGTCCATTAGAAAATGGAGCTATTGACTCTGTCAAATAATGTATTGTTTATGCTTTCATTTATCATCATCAATGAAAACAGATTCATAAAAAATTAACCTTCTCTCCATCATTTCTTGACTAAGACATATGAGTTGGAAGAAAGATTCTTTTTCTCTCGTTTTATTTACTGTCAAAGCCTGATTAGTCAGGTGTTTATGAGATTAATATGTGTTACTATGAACATACCATATTTACAGAATAATTTTTGACAAAATTTCTTGATTACAAAATGTAAAAGTAGCACTTTTGACTCATTTCATAGTGAATAACATGAAAAATAGTTTTTCTTTGATATAAAAATGATCTTCATTCTAAAAATTTGATTAGAATTATTAATCAATCAATCAAAAAAAAAATATTCCATGATCTTAACAATAAGAATGAATGATTTCGAATCAATGATTTGAAAATATACAAAAAAAAAAGAACATGAATATATAATGATTTCGACACGGTTCTGAAAATAGTCCAAATATCATTTTTCATCTATTCTGCATCTCTATAGTGTAATGACTCCGTCTAAATTTAATTACATCAATACAATAATCAACACTTGCATTAACTATTCCTGTGATTAATTCAAAACTAACTTTGCTAAATTAGTATCACAAAAGTAAAAGGTTAAATATCTATTTACTTTCGTTAGTTTGACACATGATGTACAATTACCCTTTTCGCTGATAACTTCTCATTCGTTATCATAGAGTAATATTGAATAAAATCTGTTCTAAGAAAAACAACAAACTTAAGAGAGGTTATTATCATGATATTCTCTCAACGAATGTAAATTGTTTGCATATTTATATATAAATTGATCTAGAAAGTTTAGTTAATGTTCCAATGAATTCTAATAAGACTATCAAATTCATGCTTTAATAATAAGTTATATTAATATTAGTAACTAATACAAGCATCAATTATAGAAATATTTGCATTTAATAGAGAAGTATAAAAATATGTTGAGACTTAATAAGAAATAAAATACTTTTGATTTATTGATTCTAAGATTGAAATAAATATTTTAGAAATCAAAATCAAATAAAATTATTTATCATCGAAAGAATTTTTCATAGTAGAAAAAAAAATTTGTAATGAAATCATTTTTTTTTTTGACAAAAGAATCAATGTGTCTACAAATATGCTAGTTTTCATATTTAACTTAACAACAAAATTTTATTTATGTATAACATTTTCTTTTCATCAATCGAATTGATTTATTCAATAATTAAATTCTATCGTAATTGAATTGATTTTGCTTCACTAATTCTAATAATGAAAAACAAACACCAAATCTATGAATCATTTCTATTAAAAAAATATTTTTCAGACAAATTTTTATCTGCAATTATCATTATTTTTATCGGAAGGATTTGTTTTTGTGTTTTTGTTTAATAAAATTATTTATTTATAAATATAGGCATTTTATATTATCTATCGGCAACTGTAAATCCTGTTCTATACAATATAATGTCAAAACGTTATCGAAATAGTTTCAAACGAACATTATGTCGTTGGAAAAATGTATCAACAAAAACTTCATTTCGAAATGGACGTTCTTATATATCTTATAATCGAAATCCGGCACATTTTCCAAGATCTCCCTATACAACAAATCCTTATAATCGAACAATATATAAAACAACATCATCTAATCATTATCGTGATAATATCTTTACATTTTCGATGTCAAAATATAAATTAATTATTGGTTCACGTACATTTTCTCGTCAAGATACACATGGTGAATGTCGTCGTCGTACATCATTTCATTATCGTTTATCATTAATAGAAAAAAAAGAACGTGAACAAGAAAAAGAACGAATGAAATTACAATTAAAACAAAGAAAATTTTCTTTAAGTTTTATTCAACAACCAGACAAACATCGAGCAAGATTTGTTTTTACAACTAATTTACCACCATTAACACCACCAAATTCATCGATTAGTGATTCAAAAAATTTTACACAATTACAGGCGAATTCTCATACTAAACATTATCAATAGTAGGAAAATCGTAATTTGTTTTTGTCAATGTATATATTCAAAAAAAAAGAAAATAATATTAACTTGATTGTTTTATGAAATAAACGCACACGACTCATAATATGCGCATTTATAATAACTATTAATGCAGTGCGAACTATAACGCTTATGTAGTTCTTCGCACGATGTATGCATCAAAGTTGTCATTTTCGGGTTGCGATGATCTTGAGAACGGAAGCATAGAAAAATACTCGTTGAAACGCAAGATGAAATTATCAAGCTCGAACCGATCTAATTCTTTTTTTTTTGTTCAATCTTTCTGACGATGTTCCATTTTGCTTACAAATAACGTCCCTATAGGACAAAGTTTTTGGAAACTTAGTTGTGTTTTTTAAGATTCGAGATAATTATAGCGATGACAGACACAAAAAGTTATCTGCCATTCTCTTTACTTATTGCTGAGACAGTTAGGGATAGATAATGAATCAGAATCAGGCGATAATATTCTTTAGAAACATGTTGATACTTGTTATTGAAGCTTGCTTAGTAATGAATTTTGTATATGGTTACTCTTCGCTTACATTTCGATCTTGATAAACTGATTGATAGACATGTAACCTTTTCCATTTATAATGACAAAAAGGACCCTGTTTCTAGTAAAATGGGAACATCTTCTGGAGAAAAGTGTTATATGATAAATTGTAAAAATGATTAATAGTTTTTGGTTTTTGGTGAAATATTATTTCTTGTCGGCAATCGACATTCGCAGTCAAGTAAAACTCAAATGTCATCTAGTTATAATTGCCTCTAGCATTCATATTGTTTTGTGCGTGTGATCTGGCATGGACATAATATAAAGTTTTCGTGTGAATGTTTGAAGAATAGAAAATTCATTTGTTAGATTATTCTTTGAGAGATACTTCGAAATGAATGAATAGATAAATGTTAAAGTTAATTATTAACACATAATTTGATTCAATATACAGCATATGATGATGGAAAGCCAGGTTTTTGCTTTCTATGTTGACATCTCATTTATTCTATGTCAAAATAACTCTTTTAAGATAAGATATATACAAGACCAGATCTATTTAACCCGATGGTTACGGCGTTTGTTTTTTGAAAAATAACGAAAAATTTTGAATTAAAATTTATTATCATACAGAAGTATTTAGAAATGTTTTAGAGTATGATATTCCTTCAAAATAGTCTATAAAACGAAATTCCGTTGTTACAAATGTTGAGAAAAACTAACATGACGTATGGGAATACATTGGAAAAATTCCATGAAATATGTTGAAGAATTTCAACATGCAATGCATGAGTATTTTTAACTATCATGAATGTTATAGAAATTTGTTCTATGAACAATTAGAAGTCACGACAGAAACATAGAACATCACATTCGACAAGAAGAAAAGAAAAGGAAAATCTGCTTGAACTATTATCACGAAATATATCACAACTAATCTATGTTAACAGAATGTAGAATAATGTTATTCGATGTCAGGTGATGAAACAACAATGATGGTCATACTAAGTTGATAAGATCGAAAATGTCTATTCATAAAATTATATTTTAACTGTATTATTATTATTAATTGTTTATTACTATTATACAAGTCTTCTTTATTTAAAACTTTTAGAAAGAAAATCCTAATTTTTCTTTTTTTAATTAAAATAATATTTGAGAAATAAATACTTAACAACAGTGAAACATTGTGTACTCTAGTTTGATGTCTTCATCAAGTTTTACTTCTGGTTCCGACAAACAAAAAAAATTATTCATATTTTGAGTTATATGGAAAAATATGAATCCACTATTCTATAGATATTATTAGCCGTGCTAAGTCAACTAGATTTATATTATTGCAGCATATTTTCAAAAAGAATTCTTTATTGCTCGATAAAATCTAAATATTTTAATCAATTGTTCTATAAATCGTTTATGAAATGAAATGACATTATGTCAAATAGAGTTTTTATAATGCTTAAGAAATTAATCCATCATCAGTCAGAATGCATCAATTCATAGAATTGAAATAGTTGTGTCTTAAATTTTGCGAACATTCCGAAATTAATTAAAAAACATAATATTATATACAATACACACATTGATCGTTATTATGTTTACCACATTTTGCTCTTTCAAAAAGACAGGTACATCAATTACTTAGGTGACAAAATATGTTTAGTCTTTGATAAGACTCAAAAATAAAAAGCCTTTTCTTCTCTTCAGTTGTCAAAGTTCGATAATTAATCTTCTATTGAAGCATCAAATCAGTTTCTTTTCTAATCTACTAGTAAAAATATATAATCAACAGACAAATAATAAATATGATTCGAAAAAAAATAACATAACAAGGTTTCTTCTTTTCGTTTTTGAATCAAGAGCTACTACAATTGTAGAAATATCGTGAATTTGTCAACATTGGAAAACTCAAAGGGTTTTGCGTTGGAATGCTTCTGCTAATTTTTTTCCGTGATCTGAAATACATGAAAGAGTCGTTATCTATCTCAACAGTTTTGGTTCAAAAAGATCCTACATCAAGGAAACTGAGTAAAATGATACGAAATTAACATTCTTTCAGCAGACTCAAACACTTAAAAAACTATTGTATTCTTGTCCTATGTCAAGTATAAAACTAGGTGTTGTTCATCATCAAAAGGCAGATATTAGGTGAGACTAGAGTCCGGTGGACAAACTTTTTTCGAGTGCTCAATTCTATTAGTCTAGTTCCAAGAATCTTTCAATAGACCCAAAGTCCGTTTGTCTCGTAATGATTTCATTTCTATATCATTTCGATCTCAAATGTGTTCTGTGGAAGAGGACAAACGGGATTTTTCGAGATTTGCAACTGTCCCACAGAACACATGGGAACCTTCATCAAATTGTTCTCTCTTGTTGTGCAATAAGCGGAAATAACAATAGTTGTCTCTGATCGATAACATTATGTTTTAATTATCATACTAAGAATAATATTAGTTATTATGCACCTGCTAGTCTTTGTTCAATATTAGAATCTTGTAACAATGTTACAGGTACATGTATATCAAATACATCTGTATGTATTATTAATTCACGTTGTGCACTAAAGACACTATGTTTACTACTACATATCATGGACTCTATTATATTTATCATCAAGTAGATTTATCATAATAAATTTTTTAATGTAATAACTAGAAAGTTTTAGTAGCTGAGACATCAGCTAGTAACAGCATAAGAACAGTAATGATTATACCAAGCATGAAATTATTTGTTTTTCTCTATTATATTTTGTTTATTTTAGTATTTGAAGAATACATGAATAAAACAGTCTATATTTCTCAATGATATGTAACCGAATTGGATCATAGCACACATCAAATATATCTTCTGCTTTTTTCAAATAACACTAGTCGTTTTCTTGTACGACCATATTTATGGTAACAATTGCAACTAGTTTATCCTGAACATCTTTGTATTTCTCTTAAATCATAAATAGAACTTGGTAGATTTCTTCGTCATTATCGAAGTGAATTATATTAACATGAGAATGCAAGTGATAATCCTAATCAAGAAAATATTGATTTGCAGAAATGCATCGCATTTGATATTTGGGAATACAACAGCCACTAATTTTCGAAGTGTGATATTATGGATACAATAAATACTTCCAGATTATCGACTCTATGCAGATTATAGTGTTAGCAATGAATTTATGAAAGTTAGATTTGTATTGAGTTAACTCTACTGTTACTGAAACAATAATTCTATCGATTTAATTGAAAATGTAAATATATATATATCGTATAAGTATTTCTGTTCTTCAATAAGCATCGAAGATTATATAAAGGTATTAGTTGATAAGATTTTAAAATAATGCTCAATCTTGATGATTAAAAAAAAAGAATTAGGTAATGACAAGAGAAATTTCAGCCGGAACAATGTGTACCATCTAGATCGAAGGAGTGATACATATCCTGAATAGAGTTCGATCTATTAGCTTATTAATGCAGAGATATGTCAGCAAAACGGCATTTTTATTGAATTGAAATTGTCATCATCCTCAAGAGCAGCGAAAAAAAAATTGTTTTCGAATTTCAACATTAGATTTTTCGGACCGATAGACCTTCAAAACACAATAGTTTATTGTGAAAATTTTAAGCTTGTTAACTTCCTCCTGTTTTGAAAAAAAAAACATTGAATCTACCAGTATATAGGAGCAATGTAAAAGATACGCTTCAAGCATAATCCTATCTTAGAAAACAAACGATGAAAAGATCTTAAACGTTCAAAATAAACTATTCTGTTGAATACCTCTTTCTCTGCAAAGTATCACGTTAAAATTCGATAATTAATTTTTTTTTCTGTTATTCCTGACGGCGACAGCGGTTTTAATTTAAAAAACACTCGTTTTATTGATGTATCTTTGCAGTAAAAACTTAATAATTTGAAGCCTTTTTAAGGACATGTATAGCTTCTTATGATCTACATGATGCAAATTGTTCTGACTGAAGAATGATTAATCAGTTGGAAGACTTCTCTCATGAATTAAATTGTTGATTTTGTAATTTAAGTGATATAGATGGGTATGGTCGATGTAGAAGAAAATGTTAGCAACACTCATATTCACATTCATATCGAAAATGTTTTTTTTTCTCGGAAATGAAACATTTATTCGATAATTTTTTTAATTAAATGCCAGTAGATTGAATAGCTGTATAAAGACAAATTCGTTGAAATACTTCATTATCACACGAAAAGTGATGTACTTAATGAAATATCCATCTTCTTGATGCACTATTTATTAAATTTTCGAACTTTAACCCATGTAAAAATAAATCAAGAAAAAAACGGGATTTTAATCGATTTTTTTGTGATTAAAAATCGATTAAAATGAGACGATTTTAATCAGATGTCTTGCCTTTTATTCGATTATTTTTTATTATAATCAGTTTTAATCGATTATAATTGATTATTCTTGTTTTAATGGATTTTAATTGATTATTTAATTTTTAATCTTTTTTAATCACGATAACCAAAGAATACGTAAGCATAGATCGTTGTCATCTCGCGAATTCAGGGATGTCTGACCGATATTGGTTTGATGCCGTACCTACTATTTGTCGACGCGAGAAGTCAGAAAAAGCAACAAAAAGCTATGATTTCTGGGCTAGAACTCGAGNTATTATATATTACATACATTTGATTTAACATCATTAACATGTATATGTATGGCTACATTCGATAGATACTTAATATCATCACGAAAAGTTCGTTTGAGACATATGAGTACAGTAAGAAAACGAACAAAACAAGTTATTCTATTTGTAATTATTCTTAATAGTATTCATAGTATTCCAATAGGATTTTATTTTGATGTTTCACATAAAAATCTATGTATGATTGAATCAAAAACATTTTTATATTATTATTTATGGACATTTCAAATACTTCTTCATAGTATAATACCAATTCTATTTCTTACAATATTTGGTACATTAACATATAGACAATTAAAAAAAATCAAACGAACAAAACGAAAAGGAATATTAAGTAGTGATAAAAGATTATCCCGTATGTTATTATTAATGTCAGTTGCTATAGTTTTATCATCAATACCATATTGTATTGAACATATTTATTATATGATGATACCTAATGCTCATTCAAAACAAACATCATTTACATTTCTTTATCATGTTATTACTTCAATATTATTTTATGTAAACCCTGTAACAAGTTTTTACATTTTTTTTATTTCAACACCAAATTTTCGTAGACAAGTACGAAGATTAATTTTTTGGAAAAGACCTATTTATCATTATGATAATGAGGCATTTACTATGATAACTGCTTAATTCATATGAATAGAAAAAAAAGATTTGTTTTACAAAATAAAATCTATTGAAATAAATAAAAAAAAAAAAGTAAAACAAGATGATATATTTTATTCGTTTAAATCTAAATCGAGTCTAGAAAGGAACTGATTTAATAATAATAATAATAAAAAGAACATAGGTGAATCTTTTCTATAGTGATAGAGCAACGAAAAGAATTCTTATTGTTGATATTAATAAAGCTAATATTATCTCAACAATCCTCTCTCAACTTTAGGAAAATACTTCTATTCACACAAAATACCCTCGTTTTTTTTCTCGCTAAATGAATGTTGACACAAGTCAATATTGTTAATTCGAATTGTTGATATATGCAAGAATTTTTCAATTTTTGTTTTTATTCAACATCCATATTAATCTTTGAAATGAACAATATGTTATATATTTTCATGAGAAATGTTGATGCATAATAAAGCAAGTTTTCATATTAAAAAAAGATTTTCAACTATCAAATGAATATTGAATAATAAATGAAAAGAAGAATTTATTTTCATACGTGATTTACGTATAAATTTTGTGTATGAAATACCGAATGCAATGGATCTGTAATCACATAATTGAATAATCTTACCATCAGATGTTATCTAATTTTGAATGTGTTTTTAAATTTTTATAATCTTATCAAATAATAGTTTTCTGTATTTATTTTATTTCGAATTCATTTTAACATGATTTTATTATTTGTTCTAGTCAAAATAAGAATTCTGAAAAAAAAATAAATCATATCTATAAAAATCGTTTCATTTTTGTTTTAGAATTAATTGCCTTGCTCAGATAAAAGTCTAATGATGTTTGTTCTTTTTACTTTTGTTGATACATAATAAAAGAAAAAAAAAACGATGAACTTTCTACTTAACTCGAATGAAAATCATTATTATCCATACTATTTAAGGAATAAGCTTTCAGCACAATTCCCCTGGAATTAAAGTATTAGAGGCGATGTAGCTGTTGCTGCTAATTATAGAGATTGTTTTATTTCATCTATTTTGGGACATATTCATTCACCATCGTTTTACTTTATCTTCTAGTAATACAGTAAGACTGTAGTTCATATATTTATAACGAAACATTATTCGTATACAATTTGTGGTATATCAACAATGCCTATCACGGTTCGTGCAAGGGGTCGAAATCTCTACTCTATAAACTTTAGCACTCCCTTTAGATCACCTGTCATGATATAACATGAGTAGCGGAACATATTTGATTCTTCAACTTTTCTAACCGAACCAAATCACATTTGCCTCCTGAAATCATTCTTGTTATGATTAATGTTCAGTCAAAGTATATTCTACTTTAGAGGAATCATTTTTTCAGGACTATTCTTACTTTTCTATCAGAAATAAAAGGTTAAAAGATACATTCTCTGAAATATATTTATAAATCAAATAATATGTATGTCAAGGACATGCATGACGGTTTCTTTATAGGGTTATATTTAATTAATTTTAATTGATTTAGACTAATATATATTCGAAGATAAAATCTTAGAATGTCATGCAATATATTAACAGACAAAAAAAAATTGTGGTTTTCTTCTTTTATTTTTGATCATTTCTTCCAAATTTTAGATATCAATTAATAATGAATTAATTTTATTTTTGGCATGAAAACAAATATTTGTAGTTATTTTTAGTTTGAATTACATTTGAACAAATAATTGTAGATTATGCCTCTTTGCTGAAAAAATAACTTTAAGCATTCAGTTCAAATATTGTCAAGAGAATTATCTAAATAATATGTGGGACAAATATGATAAATGAAAATTCTAGAAGAATCTCTCAACGTCATTCATATAGATTCGAGTGCTTCTTTTTTAGTGTAGCTGACATTTATAGATATCAAAGTACAAATAAAAAGAGACTAAATTTTTTTCTTTACAGAAAATTGTAGAAATTTAATTGAAAAGAACTTTCGAATTTGATGCAAAACATTCACACGAAATATCAAAGAAAAAAAATCTATTTTCTGCATGAATTGATGTGCACTATCTCTATTGAGATCAATGAACATTAAATATGCAGCTTTTTAATCCACAGAACAAACATAAAAAATCTAAAATATTTATTCATGTGAAATATGCAAAAATGATGATGACATAACAAGTTTAGTACGAGCATTATCCGTAAATTTAGAGTTGAAAGAATTTTATCTTTCTCGAAACATCTGCTCTCATACTACATCGTTAAATTCAATGCTTGAAGGTCTCATTATTTGTATAATTTCAACATCTGATTTGATGATGTACTCAAATTGAATTCAGTTTTGACTAATCGATGCTTATCAAATAACGAAGTTGCTATAAAATTCAACACACGTCAGAAAGCCTTATTTTTAAGAACTTAGTTTCAAACGATATGATGTTTATATATAAAAGCCAAAATATTATGATCAAATATCAATGTGATTGTGTAAAGATAAAACTTCATCATAAACTTTATTTTTTTCTAGAATATTTATATATCCTAGTTAAATATTGTCAAAAATGAAATTTTCAAGGCTTACATGATTTGTATGAATGGATGGAAGTGTGAACGTCGATGTTTGTCTTCATTAGACTCATATCTGATTTTTTTTCAAATTAAACAAATCAAACAAGTGATTACGCTTATGTAGTAGAAATCAAGTTTTATTTAGAATCAAATTGTTTAATTCTTTTTTAAAATTAAATAGGTATAACTTAAATAGGATTTGTATTCATCTGGTTTTTCTTCGATTTTTGATTTGTATATGATCCAATATTGATTCAAAAGTTGATCAATTTCTTCTTTTGAATGTTGTTTATTTATTTCGAGAGCTGTTTTCAATATTGGTTCACACCAAGGACGCATAAATTCAGTTCGATTTCGAGCAAATTCTTCGAGTGTTGTTTGTCCAACTTGTAATTCTTCATAGAAATTTATTGTACTACTATGAAGTTCTGCTTTTATTAATTGAAATGAATATTGATTAAAAAGCTTTTCATCAACACATTCATCATATGAACGAATATGTGATGGAATTGTGTAATTAAGTAATTCTTCTGATGTTAAACCTATTTGTTCAGCACATGTATAAAGAAGATTTTTTGCATTTTGATTTCCACATTTTCCTTGATCATTAAGTGACGGTATAGCAAGTATAAGAATACCACCTGAAATTAATTCATGTGATCGATTTTCAAGAAAATTCATATAATCCGTGCGTGCTTGTGATTTAAATGCAATTAATTCATCATCAATAGCAAATAAAGATACGCAATGATTTGAAATATTACATGGTTTTTTTGATAACCAGTGTATTGATGTCGATGAATAACCAATTGAAAGAGAATTATTAGGTATACATTGTTCATAAAACGAATGACCACTAGCTACAGCCTTATAAGAATTATCATTAATGAGAAGTTTAAAAACTTTTTCCCAATCATTTGTAGGAAGATCATTATGAATAACTAAAGGTTCTCGATAATCTTTTTTCTTTTCACGTAAATAATTAATTATTAACTTTATAGCATAAATTGAATTTGCACCATGAGATGTACCAAAATCAGCAATAATTAATGGATTATTTAATAATGAATTATCAATATTCAAAGCATCAATTGCTTGATGAATAAATGAAATCGATAAATTAATAGCAGCTAATTGAGGTTGAGAATATGTATTATAAGTTCCAGTTACATTTACAATAGCTTCAGACATTATTGATATCGATCACACAAAGAAAAAGAAAGAATAAAGATATTGTAAATGTTTTTTTCTTATCTTATTCGATAAAACAAAGCAAAAATATGAATCATTTATGTTATGATAGTTACGCTATCTGCCAGTCACTACCTCTCGTCTCTCCATTGGCTATTCCATTCACTTATGTTCTTCTTCTGTTTGATGTGTATGTATGACCATGCATATATAAATATATGTAAGTGGTCATTTCTGTTTCTCTCAAAGTATATATGGGAAGATTAATTTTCCTCAACATCTGTACTGATCATTTCACAAGTGTTCATATCAAAGAATAAATTTGTTGTAATGCTGAAATATTTGAGAGAGTCTTGTGCATCAAACTGATTAACGATCCTTATAAATCGTCAGCGATCGTTTGACTTCATTAGAGAAAAAAAGAACTTGTAGACACAAACCTTCACTTTTCCTGTGATATCATTAATGAAGTTTCAGTTCACATCGACTAAATTTTCAGCCTACTAGAATAGTAGATCATGTCATAGTCATAATAATAAACGTTTTTTTTTCGAAATATTTGTAAAGATTTGGCAAATAAATAGAATAACCTCGTATGTTTCATTACACAATGAAGATTCATTTCTTCGATTTTCATTTGAATGCGAAAAATGAAGCAAACATTTTTTTTCTTATTCAATGGATTTATATTTTCCTTTGGTTGCCAGAAGCAAAAAATCCTAAAGAGGCTGTTTTTATTGTATCAAACTATTCTTAATCATCATGCTCGATGGAAAAATGATCGAGTAAAACATTGCTATTATTCACATATTTGACATTGATCTTAATAATGCAATAAGATCTTCAACGATACGTAACTGTAAGCAGTGGTAAACATATCACTATGATCCTCTAGTTCAGAGTGTGGGTATTAGGTGACGAGTAGACCCACAGTCATCCGCACTCACATTTGATTTGATGATGAAAAAGCGTTTTCTCCCCTTTTTGACGAATATTCGACATAAAATTTCTACATCATGGTCTTTCATATTAGCAAAAACACATTTGAGACCACACGATCTTCTCTTACTTCTTCATAAATATCAATGTTTGAAAGCGGCACCTTTATCTTTCATCGCTGATTTTAATACTTTGACACGATAAAGTTCATTATTTTCAAATGACTAAAGAGCAGAAAAAATTTCACGTTGCCGACAACTTCGGAATCATTGTTCACTTCATATCGAGAATTTCCACTGTTCGATGAAATGAGATTCAAATCATCTTTGACTTTTGTCGATTTAAAAAAACAAATTTGGAAGATCAAGGACTGTTCAAAGATTAACACAAAATGTTTTAACTTGATGGCAAATCAGAACATCTAGATAATGCCAGAATATACAAAACAAAATTTTCTGCAAGAATTTAGCTGAAAACGATTGAATTCTATTTGATTCGTGGTGATAAATCTCCCGACATAAGATAATCCGATTCGAAACGACTCTATTGTTCAATTACTTGTTCAAGATTATAATGAAAACGTTAAAGAAACGTCAATCTTCAAAAATCATCAACTTTGATCAATTTTGAACTTTTGTACTCGTTGATTTCTATTATCATTCACATAGATATTGCCTTCTCGATCAAATGACAACCCTCTGGGACCATAGAATTGATTTGATTGATTTCCTTGACCATTTCCACCAACAATCATATTTCCCTGTGTGGCACCTTGAGACCAACGCATTATTCGATGATTTTCACTGTCAGCCACATAGATAGCACCTGATTGATCCACAACAATACCATAAGGGCTTGATAATTGTGTAAGATTATTTCCTTGACCTCGATCACCAGCCACAACAATGCCTTGTTTCGCACCTTTCATCCACTTTATCACACGGTGATTACTTGTATCCGATACGTAAACTGAATATTCTCGATCGACGAAGACGTATCTCGGATAACTCAATTGATTGAGACGATTTCCTGATCCATTTCCACCTGCAACACCTGTTCCCTGATTTTCTCCCATTCGATATCGTCTGACTTCATGCTTATCAAAATCAACAACATAGAGAGATCCAACATCGTCTATTGTCAAGCCATGACATCTAATATTTGACATAATGGTTTCTCCATTTGTACTACTTTGACGAGGCCATCGAACTACTCTATTGTTGCTGTAATCACAAATGATGAGACTGTCTCTTTCTTTATCGATAATCACATCTGTTGGACCAAGCAATTGATCAAGTTGATTACCTGGTCCATTTCTGCCGGCTACAACTCGACCAGTCGTCGCACCACATTTCCATTCCACAATACGGTGGTTTCCGCAGTCAGCAATGTAAACAGTCTGATTATCATCAACACACAAACCCCATAAATTGTAGAGTTGATTCATTCCACTGCCAGATCCATTTCCTCCAGCGACAGTGACACCATTCTGAAACCATTTTGTATTTGCATTCAGATTTACACGGCGTAAAAATGGTGCTATAACAAAACACAATTTAGTTCATGCGTATGGTGCGTTCTGTGAATTTCCAGGAAACTCTTTTGAACTTTAACAACATTTCTGGAGTTTACACTAGTGATGATACAGGTGATAATGCAGATAATTTCCAAAAACCTCAACCATCGGATTTCATAAGGGTGTTGCGAAATCTTGATGTACTGATCTTCACACATTTTGAGGAAATTTCTTCAGGTGAGAGTGTCACGCAATTCAGTATGTCCATTACTTCCATAATCTTCTATACCTCTCATATCTTCTTTAGTTGAAACTCTAGGAATATTGTGGAAGTTCAAATGAATTTCCTGAAAATTCATATTAAGCATCTAATTATTGCAATGTGTAATTCGATCTTTTTTGTAAAATTGGGAAAAAGAAACAATCATCTGGTGTCCTTTATATCTAAAGTAATTTTAGTTTCTTTATCGGTTCTAAATTGCAATTCAAATACATTCAATCTTTCATCGAATTCATAGGAAAGATTTATTTGTTTGTTTATTCATCTAATAAACGCTTGAGGGCGACATATCTGTAAAAATGCAGATCATTCATCAATTCAAATCACTTATAAAGAAAAATTTAAGAAGAACATTGTTTTTTCGTTTCACTTATAGTTAGCAAAGCGTGATACTATCTTCGAATTATTTCATCATTCAATGTGTAAATGCTATTCCTATGAATAAGCAATTACAATGACTCTGACAGAAGTATTGAATTCATTGCGGGGTTGTACTTCATATACATTTGTTTTAAATCTATGAAAATCTTCGGGAATGATTCTTGTTTTAATATTCAGTAAACTATAGAAAACAATTTCTATTTATTGAGTTCAACGATGAACTTGTTTATTCAGATTTTAGAGGAAAAATTCATAGAAAGAAGTTAGTGATTTCAAATGACTAAAGTCAATGTTCTTCTTATTGTTGAAAAAATATCAAAATGAATGAAAAATTGTTCTGATCGATACGACATGAATATTGGAGAATTTTTGTCTTTCTATATCTTTAGNATTCATCTTACTATAATAAGAACTAAAAAAATGTTTTTCATAATTACTTATTGTTTTATTTCGTCGATCTCAAATCTGTTAACTATTTATATGAACTTTATCATCGTCCTTCTGTATTTGTGTCGACTAATTGAACCTGCTGAGAACCACCAATTTACTACCAGTTTTCATCGCTTTTATGAGTTAATTGATTTCTCTTCTACTCAATCCCTGCATAAAGATGATCTACTAATGTCTTTGGAGAATTCTGTGAGAAAATGATTCAATTATTAGAACGTCTATCTCAGATATAAGTAAAGAGTCAGCTACATTTGTCTGGTTTCAATTACTTAAAAGTTTAATAGCAAAATTAACAACTGATAATGAACGATTTAAAGGAAGAAATTAAAGACTACTATTATGATAATAGAATAAAACTTGAAACACTTCTAGATGAAATTGAATGTTATACTCCAAGTAACGTCATCTGGTGGCATTCACGTCAAACATCTCTCTTAAGTATTATTAATCGAACACTAAGACGACAAGATATCGATTTATTGTATAAATGTCGACATTTTATTCGAGATTTATCACGAATGGTTAACTGAATTACAGCAAAAGTTACCAGCAACATTACGCGTTTATCGTGGAGCTATTTTGCCTAGAGAAAGTTTTAATAAACTGAAACATATTGTTCGACAACGAACTTTCATATCAACATTTGGATACTTATCAACTTCAAAAAATTTTGAAGTTGCTAAATTATTTGCTAGCAATGAAGCGAGTGTCGCCGATCAGAATGGTGTGTCGGCGATGTTTGAAATTGATATAGACAATGATACTAACGTTATAGCTGCTGATGTTAGTCAAAAGAGTGAATTTTCTGCAGAAGAAGAAGTTTTGTTCGATATAGATTCTACATTTGCAATTTTAAAGATGAATGCTGATGAAGAAAACCGATTATACACAATTCGTATGCGAACATCAACATATGGTAGTAAATTAACAAGTGAATATCGACGCTATAATAAAGAAGTATTAGATCGGCTGAGTGTTGAAATTCTATTTGGACATCTTATTGCATATATGGGCGAATTTGACAAGTCAATTAACTACTTTGAAACATTAGTTGATAAAGAGAATATAGATCAGACTAATGTTCAAATCAATTTGAAACGAGTCTATGCTCTTAAAGGTGACTATGATAATGCTTACAAATACTATCATATTGCAAGAGATTCAGAAACAAATGAAAACTCGCCAAAAGTGGCTGAAATAATACATAGTCTTGGTTGATTAGATAGTATTCTTGAATCTTGGAAAGATCTGTCAACACGGGGGAGAGTATGAAAAAGCCTGTCATTATTATAAAACAGTCTTAGAAATGAGAAAGCATGCTCCACCGCCTGAACATATGGATTTAGGAAAAATATTGTCCAACTTAGGCAGCGTTACAGGCGAAGCAGATCTCGATTACGAAAAAGCGTTGACTTATTTATGTGAATCGTTGGTCATAAATGAAAATGCTGTCGGCGAAGAACATTCGGCAACAGCTCTCGTCTGGAGTGATATAGCAAATGTAGAGACGAGCATGAACAGGCTTTAAAATACCAATTAAAAGTTTTAGGACTCCTTCAAAAGATCTATCACAATAAAGATCATGAAGACATAGCACGAATTTTAAATAATATTGGTGAATGATATCGTAGAATGAGGGGCTATAAACAGGCGTTTCTTTATTTAAACAGAGCGTTGAAAATGTGTATCAAGGTACTTGGAGATGATCATCCTGAAACTGGCATGGCACATATTAATTTAGCAGACACACGAATGATTATGAAAAAGCGATGAAACATGCGCGAAAGAGTTTGAAAATATGGAGAGAGAAATTATTTCCTGCCGCTATCTATGTGACTGAAGGGGACGCACTCTTGATAGAACTGAATCGACTTATTTCGCAGCGTGACCCAATTGGTAAAAAGACGGATAAAATATAGCGGCCTAACTAGGGTGAAACACCTTCGGTGCAACATCCCCTGCTTTCTTTTTTATTTTGAACTTAACATTATATTTGCTTATCTCGTTGTTCGTCTTATCGCTTTCATATCTCAATTTCGTGAAGCCACGTTTTGCATATGGGTGTGGGTGTGATGTGAATGTGCTCTTGTAATGACACTCAAATGAAATTTGATATCGGATATTGAGCAGTATTCGAGATTCATCGTGAACTTTCCTTTCCGGAGAAAAATCATTTGTAGCTTGCATTATTTGGACAATTATCACTCGAATTATTTTATATCTTCCAACTTTGAATGTCATAATAGTTATATTAGAAGTACTCGATATTCTATGAAGAATTGTATGACCTAAACGATCAACTNGATTAGAGATCGTTATTACCTTAAACTTGTTTGTGTTGGAGTACTCGATATGGTTCCTTCGATGTAGTTATTTATCTCGAGTACTCCAAATTTCGATAGTTATCGACACATCTGTAACTCCCCGACAAGTCGATCACGTCTTTTGGATAGGATGATTTTCGATTACTCGATATCCGATGGTTTCCGATGGACTCGAAATCGAAACAGAACGGACAAAAAATACATATATGACATTTTCGAGGGCTCATCGTGACCATCGCATGAATTTTTTTGTCTGCTTGGGGAGTAGTATATGATAATAATTGAGAGAAATATCATGTACGTATAACTCTGTATAGTTTATCATCTTATATATCTTTAATTTTCTTTAAAATTCATTTTTTAGGGATTAACAGATGATGACTATGATATGTATTATGAAAAATGGCAATATTTAGATCCATCAGGTTCTCAATTTATTCGATATGATCAATTATCTGATTTTGTTGATGGATTAGAACCTCCATTACGTATACCAAAACCAAATCAATTATTACTTGTTGCTATGGATTTACCAATATGTGATGATGATCGTATGCATTGTGTTGATATACTTGATGGTCTTACAAAATATTTTCTTGGTACACTTGATGTATCTACATTAGGTACAGGTACAAATGTTCCAATTGATATAAGAAAAGATCGTCCAAAAGATTATCGACCAATAGCAACGACATTACAACGTCAACGTGAAACATATTTAAGTCGACTTGGTTTACGTGGTTTTCGTGCTAATGTTGAACAATGTCGATGTAAACGACAAAGTCGTGAACCAATACTTGAAAGAGCTACAATTGATGAACTTATTGAATTAGATGATTTAGGAACACCAACATCAACAATATCATATCGAAGTAAAATTTATACTGCAGATTCAATATCAAAAATATCAATAGAACAACAACAACGAGAAAGAACTCCTTCGAAAACATCATCAACTTGTTCGTTTGGAGGAAGATCTTTATGTTGATGTGACGATTCAAACAAAATGTTTTATTTAATATTTCTTTTTTCTTTCTTTCTTTTTAGACTAGGCTTGTTTGTGATATAATAAGATTATTCTATGCAGAATTATATATAAAAACATAAATATATATTCTCATTTGATATAATGAAATTTTTTTTTTTGATAAAAATTTCTCTTGCAAATATAGAAAATTATATTATATACAAATATATGATTGTAATTTTGATTGAATTTCTCATATTTTCCAATCAAAATAAAGTTTTGCATCGAAGACGTTGAATTCATGATTATTTTATTGATGTTTTCTAGAATACATAAATCACTTTCCTTGTCAATCGTTATAACGATATGTTGTCATTGAAATATACTATTTTTGATGCTAATCTATTCGGATTAATATGTTTTCTCCTTAGTAGCAACCATTTTTTTTTGTTTTTACTAAAATATTTACTCTGTATCACTTTCTTTTTCCTTTACTGCTAAAATAATAAAAGTCAATAACGACAAAATATTTAACTTCTTATAGATCTTCAAAGGGAAGAATAAACTGTCAATATACTTATAATGTTTTCCATCAAAACCTATTCACAAATGAAAAGTTACATATGTCAAGGAATTGTTTTCGAACTGTTTTTGCTGAATACTATTTAGATCATAATGGGTGTGGTACTTTTGCATTCCACTTTATCATCACATAATACATTGTAGTAAAACAACAAAATATACCCCAATATATAATATGAAAAGCTCTACAATTTACAAAGAACAATTATAGAAAGATTAGATAGAATAAACCGAGTTCGTCTTTTACCAAAAATCAATCTCGTTTTTGCAACGTCGAAATTTAGTAGCTCAGAGTTTTGTCCGTTTTGAAAACAAAAAGTACAACTTTAAAATAAACGGTCCTTTATAAATTGTAGAGCTTTTCACGCTGCATCTTGTGATATATTTTGTTTTTTTTACTGCAACGTATTATGTGATGATAAAATGAAATGCAAAAGTGCCACACTCATTATGATCTAAATGCTACCAGCTAGTATTCAATAAAAATAGTTCTTGTCGAAATTTTATTATTATAATATTAGTTGAATAGTGATAAAATAGCATAGAAAAATAGAGCGAACGACGCTCTATCTGATTATAAAAAGGAAAAATGTTTTCAAGCTTTCTATAAGAAAAAAAGATATCTCCGCCATTACTTTTGGATGACTCTAAGTATAATTTTGATTGTTTTATTTTGAAATGTGAATAGATTGTTATTATGAATGATTGACAAAACAAATTTGTCTATTATAAGTTTCGTTATATTAAGCAGAGAGCATATGTTTACGCAAAACCTACATATATGATCATTTTTTCAAATAATAAAAAAAAGTGGTTAGAAAATATTGGAACCAGAAACACGATTCGAGTAGTCGAAACTGAATGATCGATAGGAGAATATTTCTGATGGCTTGATATTTGATGACTACGGAAGAGATTGAAACTCGAGTGGAACGAGACAAACATTTTTTTCAAGTTTCGTTTACCCGTCGCATCTGTCTTTTTATGTTAGATTTCTTGATGATCTTCGGCTTTTTAAAAATTGCGTATCAACTTAGTATTGCGAATATGTCACACTAACGATTGTTGTTGACGTGTCATATTATTAATTTTTGTTTCCAAAACAATCTTTTATATAATATAAATAATATTCTTGTTACGGGAAGTCATACATCATTTATAAGAATATCCTATTTTCATTGGATTAATTTTATTTTTAATTTCGAATGAAGAAATTTCTCGTTGTCATTATCAGCATTTCTTATAATATATAAATCGATATAAAGCATGAGTAAATAAAAGCATATATATATATATTAGACAATGTTTAACATTCGCGGAACAGTGATTCGAAATCGTTTACTGGTCGCATGAAATTCTTTCGTGTTCGAACTTGAAGGTATAACAAAGACAATGAATGTAACAAACGATGGAATAAATGAAATAAAGTAACTAACAAGATAAAACAATGAACTTCGAGCCGATTTCATACAATCAGATGTGAATGAAATAATTAAACGAGGTGTAGCAAGTAAAACTAAAATGATCGAACTGATAAATAAATGTCTGCGTAAATGAAGTTGTTTTTTCTAGATATTCTCGATAAGTTTGTTGTTTTCGAAGTGTAAAACTTTTTCAAGCAGTAGCAACAACAATGATAATTATTGATGTATAAGAAGATTTATCAAAAATGGAATAAAAAAATGAATTATATATTTCAAGTATACCTGAATATTGAACTAAACACCATCTTCTTTGTTCTGCTTCATCATAAATAAGTTGACAATTTATTATATCATGTAGAATACTAATGACATTAACTAAAAAAAAAATACCAATAATAACCCAACGAGCTGCTCATTTACTTTTCGTCTTATCAAAATTCATGCTCATCGCTACTGTAAGTGCTCTCTCACGGGCAACACTTGCATTAAGCCAATCGACAATTACAATCGAAGAAAAAAAAAATCAATTGAAATACAAGATATTCGTAGAATCGTTATGTTTTTTATAAAAGATATTTGTGAAAGAATTAACATCAAAAATTTAATTGAAAATAAAATTATTGTTCATAATGAAACGATTGATGGTAGTTAAAAGATAATATCTACAAGCTGATTCAATTGATTGTTTTGTTTGAAATGTCATTATTGAGAAAGAACCATTGATAAGGGATAAATATTTTTTTGAGCTCGCAATTAGAAACATTTGAGCCTGATGAAATTCGTCCGGGCTCAAAAAAATGTTTTGTATCTGATGAGACCGGCTATCCATTGCTTTGAGCCTGGTCGTAAGATATTGTGTAGATGGCGTGTGCATGATAAATTTCACTAATACGATAGATTATCGTGATGCGTAATTCGTGCATTCAGTATTTTTCGAATTTCTTAAAGCGTTCTACCATGGCCAAACGAGCATGGAATTTTGTCGACAAAATAATTGCCAAAGAAATTTGAAGACATATGTATGGAAACATGAAGTTGGTGCTTCAATTCATTTCAGCTTATACACTATATCTGATCCAGATAAATTAGAAAGTTTAGGAAAACGACGTGGACGACCAAAAAAAGCAGGACTAGCTTTATCTCGTTAATTTTTTCTGTATGTTCTTTATTTTTTTTTTTGAGCCCGGACGAATTTTATCGGGCTCAAATGTTTCTAATTGCGGGCTCAAAAAAATTCTTGTCCATTGATAAGACCAATGACTAATAGGATCGTAGTTAAAATAATACTAATTTTTACAATAATTGGTTGACGATTAATTGGTAAATTTGATAACCAAGAATAGCATCAAGTGAACGGTTAGAACCTTTTGTAGTTAATTGACATTTCGACAAAAAACAATCTTCACAAACATAAAATATCGAATGTGAACTGTTTGAACTATCTGAAAAACATTGACCATCATTTTGACAATCTCAAAGTCCTTTGCAAGTGTATATTGGTTTGAAGTCAAATGAAAAACAATTTGCATATTGTTTATCATTGCATAAACATATAAATTGTTCATCATCATGAAACCATTATATTTGAGATAGATTTTTACAAAGGAAATGATAATATTGTATTATTATGAAATAATTCTTGAATATGTAGATATCATCGTTGTGGATTAATTTCAATTTTAGTTATCAATGAAGATTTTATAATTCGTTTTGACATATGCAAGAAAGTATTGATTAGATAGTTGAATAATTATTATATGAAATGGTATTGATATGTGAACAATTGCTATATTTTGATCATATGGAATTTTTATAGATATTATTGTACGCATTGGATCAGCTTTTGTTTGTAAAGTATAATAAAATGAACAAGAAGAGAACGAGGAATTTCAATTTGATGAAATAATATATGTATTTTTGATTCGAATACTTCACAAGTTATACCTTGTAAATTTCGTTGGACATTAAACATAGAAAAATACTTCTTTTTACAAAATCCATCTTGACAAATAGATGGAAGCTGACAACGTCATTCATATTTTCTAAGCGAACAGAGACAGATTGATTGATTATTCGTATGACCAAGACATATCGAATCTAATGAACAATCACATTTATATGATACTGTACAGTTAATATCAGACCAACCTGAATCACAATGATAAAAATATTGATTTCGATTATTAACATATGTTAAACATTGACCATGATCACAATATATCGAACAATTATTAACGGAAGAAATTGCATAAACAGGAATCGTTAAATAAATAGATATTCTATTTACAGGAAGGAAAAGAAATTTAACTGGCAAAATCCAACTAACATGATAAGACATGTTTATGTTGTTGTAAGCATCGATTCGAATATTATAAGTTTTAGTCATATCTCTTGGTCGTAATTTATATAGAAGATAAATAAAAAATTTATTTTCATATTTATATGTAGCCGTATATGTTATTTCTTCATGATCATGAATGAAATTATCTTGATCAATCAGAGTAATAATAATACCAAATGCTTCTTGACAATTTGTTTCACACATCCGAGAAAACTGAAGTATTAAACTAACGAGTTGACTTTGAAATTGGCATCGATCTCCATAATAACTTGGAGGACAAAGACAATGCATTGTCATTGAAATTCCAACATAAATCCCAATTCCACGATTACATATATCAGTTCGATCAATAGGGAATTGTTTATTTAATATTGTATTTTCTTGATTTCCAGTCAACTTAATTAACGAATTTGATTGCTCAGAAGATGCTTCCAAATCAGACATTGATTGAATCGGCGGATTCAAAAAAGAATTTTTCTCCACGATTGATGAAGACACATTCGTCTGTGGACGTTCAAGCATAAAATGTTTATATTCAAGAGATTGAAGTTTGTCATCTTCATCTAGATGAATGATAACATTTTTCGAACAGTTATTTAATCCATCAAATAAACACATTTCATCGTGACAAAACTTTCTATTGAAGATGCATATTGTTTCATTCCAACATTTATATCTCAATCAAGAATTCTTTGACAATGTTAATCGACAAAATTTAAATGTACATATCCGTTACATAATCTTTGATATACTATTTGTAGGGAAATATTTGAAAGTTTATAACAATCATGAACACCATCGAAAACTCGATGATTCGAAATGTATTTCGTTGTATCTGGACATTGAAACGATGATTGTGAATAATTAATTTTAAGTTCATTTTCAATCACAATCAAGGAACCTTGAAAAAGATTAATAATATCAATAAATTGATGAAGACCTAACTCTTCTGTTGTTCGACAAGTTATACTATTTATATTTAAAAGTGAAATAGTTGGAAGAAAAGGATATTTTCTTACATCATAGCAAACATAATCAGGAAACATCGATGGCTTGTCTATAACATAGTAGACCGTTGTGTTTGTTAAATAAACGAATAATACATGTGCTTGAAGAATAGATCTCTGGGGAAAAATAACAAAATTTATTTGAATTATGTTTGTAATATTAATATAACAAGCCTCATCATCATTGTAATCACATAATTTACTACAATCTAATTCATCGTGGTAGCCTGCAGAATATTGTAGGAAAAACCAGCATTCATATGACAAAGCAGAATCTTCAACATATACAAATAGAGATTCCTTAAGGGTACCCCCCCCCTCTTTTTTTGACTTTCTGATTCTCGAAGACGGTACGACCGATCAAGCTCAAATTTTCAGCACCGATAGAGCATCAAAAATAACGAGATACGTGTTCGAGGAAAAAAAATTTAAACTAAGTTTTTTTGGGGTTTTCAGGAAAACTCTGGTTTTTCAGAGGTCCGCATCCTGATACATTACGACCCNGTCTTCAAAATAAGTTTACCAATGCTGAACAACGAGACCAGTATGTGGTCTATGAAGCATTGTTTCCTTATCTGCAATCAAATTTCGCTTTTTCTTCAGTTCTAAAACACATATCAAACAGTCTTCTCAAGTATAATAGAACAATCAATAATAAATCATCTATCCTTATGGAATGTTTTAATGATAATTTCAAAAAAAGTTTATCAAGTTCTCTACTTGTTTCCAATCTTTATCTTGCCGAATTAGCTAGTGACTTTCAAAAAACTATTACAATAGATGATCTTTCTTTGACTATACTGCATTCTAATCTGCATACAGTTGATAATCCAATTACATCTAGACTGTTTCAATTCGAAGGCCCTATTTTAACAGTCATGCAAGTTTTCACTATTACAAATATTATTATCTCTAGTTATTCAATGGAACGATCAATACAATCAGAAAAGCTTTATGTTGTTTTAAACAATGCATTACATTATTTTGATTTTGTTGAATTTAAAGCCTGTCGTTTGTTACAATCTTGGATGAAATGGAAAAATTCAAATGAACTGTCACCATTTGCTTGGCATGCTGCACTTATTCTGATTAATTCTGATTTATGGTCTGTTGAAGCAACTATAATTGTGTGTGATCTATTGCGTAATGAAAATGATCGCTTTCGTCAGAGAGCTGAAATCATTTTGCGATCACAAAGCGATGACGACATTCGAACAAGTTCAAAGTTGGGTATCGATATTTTACTTGCTTTAGTGATAAGAAAAACTTATTATCGACATATTTCATCATTTGCTTCTCTTACTTTGAACCGAATGTTTGACACCCTAACTCTAGACATTCAATCTCATTTAGAAACTATTCTTTGGCTAGAAAGGTACAGAATTCATGCATTGACAAATAAAGATTTATCTTTAATCAACCAAAAATTGTCATCTATCTCCCATGTAGCTTCGTATTTTTCAATTGATATTATTATAGATGTGTCTTTCTGTGATGGCATAAGTAGAATATCGAACAATTTAATACATCATATGTGTAATTTGATCACATCCAATTTTTCATCTTTCGTGGATATTGATGGTGATACAACGTCGAATGGAGTTTTGGAAAGCCATTCTCAATTTATTGTTTCAGTGCTTGTATATTTAATTTCTTTCGTTAAATACAATGATGTAGTACGACCATTGATGATCGATACATTGACGATATTGTTTGAAACATCAAGAAAGAATGAAATTCGTCGAATGGCAGCGTATGCTCTAGGCTGTGTTTGTGACAAAGACACATATAAAATTCTATTTGGCAAACTACAGATAGAGGAAAGCAATCAAACAAATAGAATGTATGACGAATCTGATGATTCTCTTAGTTTATTAATTTCAAGTTATTGTTATTGTGTATCAATTAACAATATTAACTTCGATCAAGATGATATGAATGTGTTTCGTAAATTACTTAAACATTCTTCACCAAAAGTTTTGAGAACAGTACATGTAGGACTTGGCCGCGTTCTACAGAATACTTCATTATTATTTGAAATGCTTGATTCTGATTATATTCAATGTTATCATGCACTAATCGAATCAACAGCATACTTGTATCTTTACGATGTCCGACAAAGAAGTGAAGACACTGTGGTAGCGTTCGTTGAAGAACATTCTAATCTTCTACCAATGGTTGTAGTCAATTTGTACAATAGCATTCGTCATTTCACGAATGAAGTAATGCATGCTAGTACAATAGATTATTATTTATCTTACGCATACCCTGAATACGTAGAAGTAGCAAGCTTAATAGCTGTGCGAATGCCTGCAGCATTTTGTGCATATGTAAAAGATTGGCAAGATGGGGATAACTTGAAACGTGCACTGTTCTTTACTAGCAAACAACATAATTTTCCACAACGTGCTGCTTGCATAACTATTCTATCAATATTTGGTGAATTAACAGTGGAACTATGTGAAATGTTTATTGAAGCTTTACGTGATGATTCACATATACAAAATACTTGTTATAAATGCCTGACACGTATTAATTGTATTAAAGACGAGAAAACCGTCCTAAATATGTTATTCTTCTATTTGAAATCAAAATCAATGAATGTTCGATATGTTACAGCTAAAATTCTTCTTCATCTTTCTAAATCTTCTCTCATTCCATTGAATCGAGTTCAAACAGCACTGAATAATCTTATATTGGATCCGAGTTCAAACGAGAATCTTTGGTTGATTAAAGATCAAGACAATACTCAAACAGAGTGTGCGTACTATTATGCTGGACCATTGAAAGATGTTGTTTATTCTCTTCTCATCCAACATTCGGCTGGAGATGCAAATGAAACTATTCGAAGAAATGAATTAAATGATATTGAAACAAGTTTTGCTGAATCTGAACAAGCAGCTCGTTTTGCTTCATGTTTTTATGAAGCGAAAACGGAAGAAAATCTACGATTAGAACAACCTTTAAAAAAGGTCAAGTTGGTTAACTGACGATCATGAAGATTCAACATCACAATATTCCTTCCTTATAGACAAAAAGAGTTACAATTCTTATTTCCTTTTTGTCTTGGTAAAAATAAAAATAAAACATATTTCTCATCATGAAGTACTTTGTGAAATGGTATGCGGAACGACATTCAGTTTTGCAATGGAAAATCAATAAAAGACGATTAATGGTGACTAGTGTAACGGGCATAAAAGGATTTTTAGTAGCCTATTGCCAATACATACTTTCATACGACAAAATCACACAGATCAACTAACATTGAAAGGATAATGCAATATATTTTTTTATGAAAGATACATTTCAGTCACAAACAAAACTTTCCAGCTAGGCGATAACTATCCATGAAGAAATTGTTTATCTTGAAAGTTCTACTACAAGTAGAGTATGATGAATCCTGATTACAAGTACTAGCTTCAGCTCTGTCCATTTATCAGATTTAACATGAAAGGTCAATATTAATAGTTATCATGTTGGATTAGCTCGAACTACAAACAATATCTTCATATGCTCGATCTATCCTTAGAAAGCCTAGCTCTTCTTCTCTTTTCAGTAATATTTTCGATGCAAACAAACGTTCCTTTGCGAAGTTATGAATCAATATCTATCTGCTCACTGAACTGAAGTATCATAAACTACCTGGTAATGCAACGAACTGTTCGGCCACTAATGGCACTATCCTATTTGCACGCAGTTATGATGATTCTAGCGCAACCATATTATCTTCAACGAAGAGCTGAAAAACGATTGGAACCTTGATAGCAAACAAAGCTTTCGAATTTGCTGAGATTCATTCGATTTTGTTCAAGACGAATAAAATGAAAAAAGAAGTCTTTTAAAAATCCCAGTAAATTTGATTTTCTATAATTTATGCAAGAAATCGTGACATTCAAAGGTCATGTTGTTTTTTTTCATATTCAACGAAATCAGTGTAGTATTTTTATCTCAATTCTTAGTCTTAATCATGATCTACTTATGTCACAGAAGATAACTCGATCTAATCTAATTTAATGATTTCTGAGAAATGCCAATCTTGGGATTTATATTGAAGTGAATATCCATTGTCGAAAAACCTTTGAGTCAGAAAATTTCAGGATTGAATGAAGTCTAGTACAGTATTATGTGGTCTATTTTTGCAGGTAAACGATTAAGCCTAGTTTTACACTTAAAGCACATGCCAAACAACCTATGCTATATTAGTTCAATGGGTACATAGATATTTATTTATAACTTCATGAAGGAACATCTGTTTGCAATGAAATTTTAATAGAAAGAGAAAAAGTATTGGATTTCTAATGGTGGATTACATGCCACAAAATGTCGTTTGTAGTTCGAGATAATGCAACATGACCCTTAATGTTGACCTTTAATCTTAACCTTGATAAAAAGATTGAGTTGAAGCTGGCGCTTGTGATCAGGGTTCATCAGGCTTTACTTGTAGTAGAAGTTTCAGGGTAAACAATTCCTATGTGGATAGTTTTCGTCTAGCTTCGAGAATTTCGTTCGCGACTGTAGGTACGGAGTATTTAATCAGCTTTCAATATCGATTATCAATTAAGACATGAGGCATTTTCTCCATTTTGAATGATCCATATTATGGTACTGAATAAAAGAGTCAAAGACATCATACTGATATTTGTATAGAACAAAATCATTCATCAAGTCCTAATGTAACGAAACATTCGTTCAATTTCTTGACGAATATTCGATACGATATTTGTATTATTGTCTTTCGCAGCTACAGCAACACTTGACAGTACATGATATTCATAATTCTTAACGTTTTCTAACGACATATTTCTCTTTCATCGATGATTTTTCTGCTTTTTTAAGATGAAATTTATTTTTTTCTAATGACAGAAGACCAGAAAATGTTTTTAACTTGTCGACTATTTCTAAACCATCGTTGACATTTGCTTCTTTTACAGAACAATTTCGGATATCTTCGATTCCCTAATAATGCACACAAAATATTTCAACTCACTAGCAAAGCAAAACATTTAAATCAGAATATCCGAAATAGAAACGTCTGACAAAACTTGACGAAAAATGACTTTATTTTATTTGGTTCATGATTATCTTCCGAACTAGATGAAATAATAAGACTTGAAACGTCTTTACTACTAAATCACTTGTTCAAGAGTACAATGAGAACGTTAAAACAATGTCAATTTTCAAAACTCATCAACTTCGATCAAAGTCGAACTTTCGTACTCAATTATTTTCTTGATCACTCACATATAGATTACCCTCTAAACCAAATGGCATCACAATTTGGCGAATCGTCACATCAAATCTCTATTCCACAACATGCTGATTGTTAGTGTTAACAATGTAAATAGTTTGATTCTTATTCATATACAAACCATATGAACCGGCAGTAGATCTGATTCATTCCACTATAAGTTCCCTTTCCTCCAGAAGCAGTAACACCATTCTATATTCATTTTACATTCGAATTTAAATTTGAACTACATAGAAATGGTGATGAAACAGAACAAGATTTCGTTTATTGATATTGGATCAATATTCATCAATGAAAAGTTATATTCGAAATAGAGTACTTCATTCGAGGGAGGGGGAATAAACAAAGAACAATTTTCTTCGTTTGACATATTGAGCAATGATTCAACGGTATAATTTCGTTGTTTTGATATTTCGAAAGAAAAATACTGTAGTGCTACTATTGAATGATGATTGACTTTCGAATCTTCAAATTTAAAAGTTGAATTTTATCATCATTTTATTATCATCGAAAGATTCCGTCTTTCAAACAAGCATCGATAGCAAAATGTCACTATTGATCACCACAATTAATTAAGAATACATGACCATGATCTTCTTTTTCGATTAGGTAATTTTTGCAAATAATTTTAAATAATAAATAGACTTAAATTTCGGTCGAAATTTATCTTTAATTCTAAATAGTTTTTACAAGACATGGTTATGACATTGATTCAATCGGTTGTTTTCTCTTAAACTATTTATTCAAAAAAGAAGATCAACTAAATGTCGTTGACACTCTCGTGGAAATCAAATTCAAATTAAAAAAAACTTTTGTATCATTACAGTGATTGAATAAGAAATATTTTTCGAAGAGCATCTGATTAAAATTTTAAGAAACACTTCATGAAGTTTCATCCAGTTCGATTTTCATAAAACAAATCAGATGAAAGTTTGCAAGACAAGTATATTCTTGAGCTGCTTAATTTAGAATTTTACAGATGAGACAAATGTTTTAAAATAAATCTACTTGAAAGAAATATTTTATTCCGAAAAAGTCAAGATTAATGACACATTCCAATCGAGAAAAGTTCACGACAAAATCTTAATATAATTTCTTTAATTTATTTTGGTCGAATGTTAATCGAGAGTGAAGAGAATCGTTTTTCTTACAATTATTGTTGAAAGAAAGACAACATGAACTTTTCGTATTCGACTATCAAAAGTAATGACTGAACAATTTTCGAATAAATATCGATTATTTTGTTGTTTGAGATTGAACCATCGATTCGTTTCGATGAATTTCAATTTTTGAATTATATTATAGTTAAAATTAACTAGCACGAAATTAACAGTGTGGGTGTTCTGTGCAGAAAATGAGTACTCACATACCCATCCCCTTCCCGACTTGATTTGACTTTGCCGTTTGATTTTCTGACATGACGTATGACTTGAGAAAATAATACAAGTCAAGTCAGACATATATTTGTAACTAAAATGTATATTAGATTCGCATTGCGTAAAGTTATGAGGAAATCCATGGATATTCAAACACTTTGTGGAAAATTTATTTTTTATTGTATGTGTTGTACTAGTTAGGTGTAGAGTGGCTAGAAAATAGATTTGGCCGAAAAAAATTTAAGCATTTCTACCTGAAATATCAGAGATTCAGGCCATTTTCTAGGAACATTTAAGTAAGAGAAGGACACTCAGGTTATTACAATGTTTAAAGTTCATGTTTTTCCCAGAGATAGGAGACCACTAGACTAGCACAATCTCCAAAGGATTCTTTTTTTTTCAATGTATTATGCCTGAGACGCTATATTTCTAAAAGCATGACTTTAGCATAACTTTGAACAAAGCGCTTTTATCATAGTAAATACGTAGAATTTGCTCTTCTTAAAAATCATATATCTCGGTCATAATACATTGAAATAAGAATCCTTCAGAGGTTGTGCTAGCCTAGTGGCCTCCTACCTCTGGGAAAAATATGAGCTTTTAACAATGTAATAATCTGAGTGATCCTTCTCATACTTAGATGTTTCTAGAAAACGATCTGAACCTCTCGTATTTCAGGTAGAAGTCATCATATTTTGTTTCACTAAATCTATTGTCTATCCACTATACTCCTAACTAGCACAAACAATTCGATAAAAAACCTTTTCCGAAAAAGTGGTTGGATATCCATCGATGTACCCTTATGTTTTTTGTTCTAATAAGAAAATTTAGTCGTTAATAATACTGAAACATAATTATTAGTCGACAACAACACTTGAAACAAATACCATGAATGATGAAAAATTACCAGCTATAATAAACATTAAAACGAGAAAGTTTTCTTCTTAAAGTTCGAACAGAACAATATTATAAAAAAACAAAAAGTTGATAATGCTGCATTTATCAAAAATGAAATAACTAATGGTTTTACTGATGATGATAATCATTCAAATTGATTTATTTCAATTAATCGACCAATAAAATACGTAGAAATCATTTAGCAAACTGGCAAGACGGGTTTCGACAGTTCCTACAACGTCATCACTTGTAGACAGACATTACCATGCTAAAATATAATCAGGGAGTGATGTAAACTTTTTTCAGTAAATTAATACGTAAGCAAATCACGAAGTTTGAAAAGAAATCAAGTTAATGATTTGAAGTTTGACTTCATTCGATTTGAAATTTTGCATTTTGAATCAATGACTGAATTAGGTTTGACTTCAAAATATTTTTTTAGACCAATAACTTGACTTAAGTTGTTTTAAGAAATGATTTGACTTGACTTGTCTATTTCTGAACATAACTATTATCTTGGCTAAAATCTAACGTCCATCATTATGAAGTCTTTTTTTAGTTTTGATGTATCGTGCAATTTCACTTTATCTAATAACAAACTCATAGGATAATAATTAAGTGCACTACATGTAGTTCATTAAAATCTCCATTCCCCTTTACGAATTAGAACGGCAAAAAAATAAGCTACAAAAAAAAATGACAGGCCTGATTTCCATGGAAAAGTACATTATTTTATACTGATTCGATGGTTCATGGGACATCGTCGTTGATCAAACTATATGATTAGTTAAAACGATGTCAAGTTGTCTTTATCCACAACATTTTTTGTTTGTCTTGAAGTTTCTATTTATTAATAGTATTTTATATTGAGGTATTTCTTGAATTCAACAAGTATATGGGTAGGTAAAAGATGGGTACGGAAACTTAAGCCGGAATACTCAGATACGAGAATGATCAGTACATGGAGACGTCAGCACTGAAAATTAAGCATGCAGAGAAATGAAAATTCATATGATGTCTATGGAAAGATCAATTCTTGTACATGAATGTAGATACCGGCAATAGAAGAAGAGAACGCCCACATTCACAACTATAATGATGCGCTCATGCTTTCATACACAACCTACACATTTATTTTAATTGCATGATTAGCTTTTCAGTATTGGGTGTGCTCGTGCTTAAGTTTTCTCGTGCTTAAGTTCCTATGCTCATCGTTTACTAATCTATAGTACTTAATATGTACTATATAAAGCTATATAATCGTATTAAATTAATATTTTATAGTCATACTACACGACTTCAAAATAAAAAGTAGTGCAAGACTTTCGACATCGACTATATATTTTAGTTGAAACTATTTAGAAAATATTTTATAACATTTTAGTTATAAAATTTAGTGTTAACAAGACAGTTGCATGATCATCCACATAAAATATCTTATTAATACGATCAGTACAAATTCTTTGACGCATATATAACTGCATAAATATTTTATCTTTAGTCAAAATTTAAAACATGAATAGTTCAATTTCATCTTATCCTGTTTTTTCATCATTGGATTTATATTATTTCTCAGTTTCATCGAATATTTTTGTTTATGGATATATAATTATTCTGATTATTGGGTTTATAGGTAATATATGTCAAATATTAACATTTTCACATAAAACACTGAGAAATATTAGTACTGGTATATTATTCTTTGCATTGAGTATATCCGATACAATTTATCTATTATTATCTTTTTATGTATTAATAATTTATGGTTTTCGTATTCCTGATCAATCCAATTATGCCAAAAGTTGTCAATTTCGACATTATATGAATCATCTTTCAACAAATTTCAGTGCATGGATGCTTACAACAAGTAATTCTTACTAAGTTAAAAGCAGAATATATATATATATTTGTTTTCGATTATAGTTTCATGTGATCGTTGGATACGTTCACAATTTCCTATTAAAGCTCAACAAATTTGTTCAAAGCGAACAGCTATTTATTCAATTATTATTGCACTTATCTTTGATTGTCTTTTACATGTTCATCTTCTTACACCAATGTTTGGTCAAATTGCACCAGGAGTAACAACTTATTGTGGTGTTGATCAACGTTATCCAAGTTATTCATATTTTTATAATGAAATTTGGCCAATTATTACTATTCTTACTGTTAATATTATTCCAGCAAGTTGTATGATATTTTTTCTTATAGGTATAACTATAAATATACACAATCATCGAAATCGAGTTACTCCTATTCGACAAATAAATTTAAATCAACAAGAAAAACGACGTGCATGTTTTCTTCATCGACAAATGTTAATGCTTATGATTGTTACTCTGATGACTTTTTTCCTTACAACATTTCCTGTTGCTTTACTACGTTTTACACTATCTACATTGAATATTCAAAAATCATTGTCTTTTAACCTTTTTTTAACGTCTATATTGAGTTTTATAACAGTATCAAATTATTCCTTAAATTTTTATTTTCATTGTTTAACATCAAAATTTTTTCGAAAAAAATTTTTAAAATGTATTCCATGTTCAATTTCAATTACTTTTCGTCATTCAAATCATACTACTACAATGCCTACTACTCAACAACAAGGAGCTGTTACATAATTCATGGTACAATTATCAAAATACTTATGAACTTGAAAACGATCGTGTAACATCTGTATGAAGATTTTATTTCTAGAAATAAAATACTATGTACAGTTTACATCGGAATTCTTTTTCTTGTATTGTAAAATTATCAATCAAGTCATTATATTTAGCACTGCAAAATAAATAAAACAGAACATAATTTTCCTATTGTAGAAATTGTGTTCTAAATTATGTCGAATGTTTTGATCAAGTATTGCGACTCGAAAGCAATGTGTATAAAGGATCGTAATAAATTGTTGAATCTATTAATCACAAAAGGAAAAGACATATTTTCTGATGTCTTCAAACTATAAATTCAGATGGCACTGGTAATATGAATTCTATTTTTTTTAGAATGTTGATTAATCAACATTTAATTTCCCTTCTGCATAGCGGATAGTTTTCCAGCTGACAAGAAAACTATACCAATTGTAAATGAAAATTTGAGCTCATATTGAGCCCACGACGAGGTCTGGGTAAGACTCGAAAAACACTAAAAGAGTTCGTCTGTATACGCCTTGGAAATCGAGTTATAGTCGTTGCACTAAACTTTCGGCCCATTTTTAGGTATTTACTTATAAAATCAAATAATGATATTTCGATGTAAAACTTTGCCTAAAGATAGGACTAATGATCCTAGAGAATGTCCTGAAAGTTTCAGTCGAAAAGAATGTTTCTTTGTCGGAATATTCAATTTTTAACTAAACTTAATTTTTGTGATCATACCTGTGAGAAATGGCAATATCTTGAAAATTCAATCTCTCGTTTAGACCTGTGATAGTTTGCGATCGAAGAACTGAATTGGTATTATCCACTCAGTTCTTTCTAAAAGAACCGGTTCATAGAACTGTAAGCTGTCACAGATCTAATCTTGGTAGAGAAATCTTCATTTTGGCTGAAACTTTTAGCATACACTGAAGATCATTAAACTTATCTTTAGACAAAATGTCAGGTCAGAACTCTGCTATTTCATTTTTCAGTGAACATTTTAAAATGGTTCGAAAATTCAGTGCAACGATTATAACTCGGCTCTCAATGCTTGTGTGGATGAACTCTTTTAGACTTTTTTCTTGTCTTACTCAATATTCCTTGTGAGCACAATATAAACTCAAAACGACTGGTTACACTCGGAGTTAGTTGTCTTGTTGATGTAATTTTTGATTGGAAACACACATTTGATCATTTTTGACTTCATTCAGTAGTATGTTTTACTTTTAAAATAGAATTTAGTTTTTGCTTTTCATGTAAATCAATATACGAGCCGTGTTTCGGACGGAAAATCTTGACAATAAATAGAACTTGAAAGCAGTATTTCAAGCTTGAAATTCTCCGGATTTTTGCTGTAACCACTAGTCAACTTGCTATTATTTTCGAGGTGAAGCAATCAGAAACCGTCGAAAAAGTTAGGAGATACTCCATTTCACAATACTACTTCCATGTTTTATCTATATTCGTAGTTTTCTGGTCGACAACAATAATTTTTCTAACAATTTCCAGTTAATTTAGCTTGTTTTCAGACATTGAAATTTGTTGACTCATGTCGAGTCTTTTGCAATACTAGTTTCAACTTCCTGTTCAGGTATCCTATTCTCGGATAAATATCCTGTCTAACCCTCTTGTGAACAACGTGATAATAAGAAAACGACATTAGCTGTCTTTGCATGATTGCTCAACAAGTTAATTACACATGACATTTATATAACTAATAAAATAAATAAATTATTCATTTGGTCAATCTGATTGATGTTAGAAGAAGATCCCGTTTAATGTCATAAACTTTTATTTCCATTACTTTTTTTTGTGTGTAAAAGCGTTAAAAGTCAAATTCAGACATAAAAAAACTTTTACTGATTTTTTTTTCCTTAAATTATTTTCTCACAACGAGATCTAACTTGGTCGTTTCAATTAATTCGTAGCAATATATTTCAATTTCAATGATGTAGTAATTCTATTGAATTTTTGTTTTCCTTTCAAACAAAATAAGGCTTGACATTTTTTTGATAGAAATAACAAATTATGCAGCCAGAAAAGAATACTCATTAAGTATTCACTGAAAAAATGTTTCTTTTGATAATCTTTCAATCTCTACTCGGATATTACAATGGAAAATAATTCATAAAATATTTAAATCATGCTGATAGTTTTTTTTTTTGTTGAAGCCCTTTCATCTTGCATGCAGTGATTTTATTAGAGAAAATATATTGAGACGATATTCATAAAAAAAAACTAATTTTATTCATTCACACTAACATAAAAATATGTTGCATTTATATGTCGCCAGTGATAATGAATGGTTCAACAAAATTTTGACTTCTCTTTGTAAATTGAGATTATTTATATGAAATTCATATAGAGGTAGTTGATTCAACACCCAATCTTGTAGAAAATGATTAGAGGTATCATCTGAAAAAAGATGATTTTAATTGCCTTGATCTAATGAAAAGTTGCCATTGTTTGATTAATCATATTATGAAAAGTTAATATCTCCCAATTCTTGCAAAAAGAAAAGTATTCTTTAAATGTTTGTGTTAGTGAAGTTGATTGAAATACTAATAAAAATTTGCCACTTCGTTGTATGACACTAGTTCCTAAAGCATAAATTTTAGATTGATCAGATATTGTATTATTAAACAATTTATTGAGTGTAGTTGGATAATCCTGAACAAACAGACCTAAAAATCTATAGCAATAGCTCGATAGCCTAAATTTCGACAACCAGCCTAACTTTTTTGACATTTTTTTCTAGGATAAAAAGATAGAGTCTAGAAATGAAAATTTACCTGTGTCTGTCTGTAACATAGTTACCAATGGTCATTGTTACCATAGGTAAATATGGTCAAAATGACCATCGAATAAGCGTAGTAAAAAAAACTGGCTACCTGAAAACTCTGGTATAAAGGATTATAACTACCAGTTGTGGTACAAATAGCTGCATAGGATGACAATAGGTATCTAGCTATTAGAAATCAAGTTGACTGAGAAATAAAGGATGAGGAATACGAAATTTCTTCTACACCATGAAATGATCGGATACACTCGATATTTCACTGTANGTATACTATCGTATTTCGGTGTGCTACGTGGCTCAGTATTCAGATCGTATTTGTCCGTATCCTACCTATATGGGAAAGTATGACTCTTTACGAAATTATACTAAGTTCAGCAGAAGTCATACCCCGGTTAAAAATATGTGTAAGAAAACTACGATTATTTTTTATTACCGATATAGAAGTCTAATTGTTTTGTACAAACGAGCCACTTTTTACAAGGAAATCCTATTCAAATTGAGTAAAATTTCTAAATCGATTGAAAAAATAATCTACTCCATTGATTATCTCAGTAGTAATCCGGCTTTCATTGGCAACTGATTTTAATCTTTTTAATCAATTAAAATCTTAATCACTGAAAATCAGATTTATAAATTCTCGATGAATTACTAACGATGATTCCACTTATAATTCGATTTTAATCTTCTTAATGGATTATAAAAGAATTGGTCAGTATCAGTAAGATGTAATAGAAGTAAATTATTGGGACAAATTAGAGGAGTATGTATGAGTGTGTGTTGGTTTAGGATACGGAGTGAGTGAGATATGGTAGATCTTTACCCACATCAACGCCATCATGATCCTGAACCTAAGCTCGATCAACCGGTAGCTTTCAGAACCAAGTCGGTCGGGTTTGTGTTCGGGAATAATTCGACAGACTCTGAGAGGGAGTGACCATATTAGTTTTAACATACCTTTAAGCGGAAGCTAGTGCCAACTGTCTTTTTCCTCTCTATTGTCTGTTTAGACTATGCATTATAGAGGCAATCTTCAGAACAAACAAAGGTGGACTATAAGTGATTCCAATAGTGGAAAATTAATACTACTATTATTTTCGCTATGTGATGAAATTAAGCTATATTTCACAAGCTTAATCAATTTTAGTCGATTGCTGATGTAATTGTACCATCTCAATGGAAACAATTTATGTAGCAATTTNGGACTAAGTTTTGCATTAGATTCACTTTTTTTTGGCAAATTAATCTCAATGTGAAAACAATTTATTTGGCACTTTCAATCGGCATCTTTCTCTTTGGAGCATTTACAAATTATGCTAGTTTTCTTACTTTCAAACGACCTAACCGACGTAAATTTGGGTTTGGAAACTATCTGTTCATTATTTCACTATTAAATCAATTTTCTCTCCTTTCGTTTCTACGTAACCCTTTCTTGCCCAATGGCACCTATAGATGCCATTTTTTTCAAAGATTCGTTCCCTTGTAATATAAGGCATAGAGAAACTAATTTTATACCAACTTAAGGCACATCTATTATAGACTTTGTACCAATATTCTGAACATCAACTTCTTCAAAAAAACCCTAATTTGTCACCAAAACCATATACTATGTTATGGCGCGCGCTATAGTCGTGCCATAAGAGAGTGCTAGCGAGTCGTGATGAACCAACAGATTAGTGATAAAGTTCTTTTTTGTCCCTATAGTCACTGAAAACGTATCTGAAGGAGCTAAAAAAACAAAACCGCTTTTGAACAAACATGAGTACAAGAAAAATAGATAAACAATACCAAAACAAGAGAATATTTCGGAAATGACTAAAGACAAAGGAGAGCATATGTGTAATGTCGTTGTATTCTTCATCTATATAATATAGAAGTGATGAAGAACGAAAGAAAGAAATATTCAATGTTAGTGAATCACTGTATAACAGAGAGAAAGGAAAATGTTTGTTACCGTGTAATATCATGCTGTGAAGTCTATCAACTAATAGAATAGTTCTTTCAAAGTCAATTTACATACTACAACAAATGATAGTCTACGAAGTGAATGCAATTATTGTATGCTTACGATAGCAGTATCATTGTGTTCATTCTTCTGTAACTTTCATAGTTTTTTCTATACAATAAAAATTGCTGAACATTCAATACATCAATTGCATTAGCATTTAAGCGAAGTGATTCAAACTTATTC